GAAAAACAAAGATTTTCTTTCCCTCTGCGGCGCTATCACTCAGTCGGCCCCGCGAGGCAGACCTCGGGGGGGGCGTCGCCATCGCCCTCCGCACTTCATCGAGAAGAGCCATTATAAGGAGAAGGGCAGTAACATTAAAGCATTTCATAAAAAGTGGGGCCAGATGCATTCATCTTGACAAAACGTGTTACGTAAGCTTACAAAACTCTTTTTTTTCTTCTTCTATTCGGCTATTAAAATAGATTATTGCACATTGATTGAGCAGATGTCTCTGATGGCTGGATGGGCTGCGATCAGGTTGTGACGCCTTTCATTAGTGCATTCACTCCCGATGGGGAGATGCAAGAGGGAAAAGGGTAGAGGGAAGGCTTGCGGATGTTGGTGACGAGGGACTGATACCCGCTTCATTTTTAAACCCCGGTTGGAGGATGTGGTGGGTGGTGAGAATTGGGTGGGAACTCCGTGGGACGATGTCTGTCTTCCTCTGTCCTCTCGGGGGTTTTGGATCTCCGATAATGAGCCAGGCGAGTCCCGCTGTGTGTCCACTGCTCACACGTTCAGAAATGCTGCGGGGGGTTTGCTCGATGCTGAATCGGTTTGCTGATATACTGTCTTGTATCAGGCCTATAATTGTTAAGGATGAGGGCGGTTCAGCTGTCAATAAGAGGCCATTAATCATATGTGTTTCTAACCTGGTGGTTGGTTCCCCAATTATTATGTGCTACAATATTTGCTTTTCATTTATTTTCTATTATACACCACATATCTTTTGTTTTTTGCTGAATTATAAAGCGTCAGATGGTGATTGTCTTGTTGAATCATTTCCTTTACATTTCCAAAAGTTCTCCTCTGATGAGCCATTTGGTACCAAACACACTCTTCTGAAAAAGAGCCAGTAGCTCCCGTGCTATGTCATGCAAAAAGGAGAATTAAAAAAAGTTTACCAAACAAATACAATTTGAATTTTTAAAAAAAATCTATTTCTTACCTCTCCCTATAAAAAAGAGCCCAGATAAGAACTTTCTGACAGGAGAGGAGAATAGTTCGCTGAGCTGTGACTCGCCCTGGTGTTTTTCTGGATTCAGCCCACACGTGTTCTTCTATGAGCTTTGTCGTGTGCTGTTGGCTCCAGGGGACGCGGCTCTGTCTAAATTGCTTCTGTATGTCTCATACGCTGGTGACATCAGACTGGTTGCTGAAATAAACTCCCCATTCACAATTTTTCCTCGCGTCTTATATGCATTTATTTGTGTGTTTGCTGCCTTTCTTTGCACCGACACGCCGCGGGAACGCATACGTTTCTCAAGCAAGTCCTGTCACAAAATGCGCACGCATATTCTTCTGTTGGTGAAGCGCGAGTCCACCAACAGGCAATGTCAGCTGACCTGCTATCTGCAGGCTGACAGCAGGTAGGTTATTAGTTTTCCATACAACATGAACTCAAAAAGTTCTCAGGCAATCAATAGACACTGAGACCTGGCATGAAACCGTGAAAATATTACTTTGCCTCTTCTATATGTGCAGGTATCAGACTTCTCAGTTGATGCCACATCATGAGCCGGAGCTTCGGGACGTTGTTGTATACCCATTAGCTTTAGCTGAGTGGAAGACGGAAAGAGTTGTTCGCTAGTTGTTTATGGTCCCTGTTTTCTACTACTTTTTCTACTCCCCTGTTTATTTATTTACGCTTGCTGACCTACCCTTGAGGAGGGGTCAACTTCAAGTGCAAATACGAGCGAGTTAACCCTGGATCTCAGTACTGGAGTCAAGGCAGTTTGCCGCCACTAGATGACTGAAAGCAATCACCCTGACACAGAGCGTGCTCTACACAGAACTCGTTCTCAGCGTTAGACATTTCGAGCACCACAAGGCAGTCGTACTTATTAAAGACAACAATCAGAAGATTACCAAGAAATGGAAATAATTGATGAAAGAATAAGAGAGTCTTCTCCCTATCGCATAAGCGGGCTGAGCAACAGGCTAATCCTAACAACCTGGAGGACTTCACTCAGGCAGAGAGATGTGAGGGAGGGGAGACGGGGGCCGGGGGGAGACGGGGGGTGTGGCAGCTAGCTGTCAGACATGCTGGGTAGAGTGTGTGTTGCTGCTACTGCCAAAGCTCCCAATGTCTCCCTTCTTTCATACAAAGAGCTTTCATCTATTTCCTGTGCCTCTCTCTAACACGCACACGCACACACACACACACACACACACACACACACACACACACACACACACAGCCTACGTCAATCCTGCCACGTGAAAAGCGAGGACTTCCCGTTTGTGTATTTTCCACTGTGTGTGCCGGGCCGACTAAGTGTCTTTGTAGGATTCAGGATTAGGTCGTCTCGCTGACACACTCGGCTTACGTAAAGCTGACGCACAGCATGCGGCACCAAACCACCGCGACCCGGCCTGCTGCAGCGCCGCCTGACCTGGCCGCGCCCCGCCGCCCCGGAAATAGTGTGACCAAAATCAAATTGTTGATTGTTTTCTCTTCAATAGCCCTCCAAGAATTTCAGTGAAGCCATTCACAGCTGGCAACATTTTATAAATAGGATAAAAGTCATTCATGGGATAAGCAAGACGCAGCTTTATTGGGGTATATTTACTGACTAAGAACGGGGTCCAGTCATCCCTAAACAACCCTCCCTTAACTAGTTACCAATTAAATAAACAATTGGCCTTGATTGAATGTTTTGCTATTAATGAGATAATCTGACCATATTACAACTTTTTATTTCCTATATTTAAGGGAGATTTTTAGTATCCAGAATAGTTACAGCCTCGCTAGTAAAACTTCTCTTCTGTTAACGTTTTTAAATCCTGTCTTTCATTCCAGTTTTTATCTTTTGTTGTGCATCACTTAATCTAGATTATTTTGTGATTAATATGCAATGTCAATCTTATATGACAAATGGTCTTTATCAGCCCACTCCTAATTACACACAAGATCCCAGGCTGTGCAAGACACTCAATTTCTGTTTAATCTATTCAGAAGACAAACCCCTATATATCCATCTTCATTAATAATGTACAAATTAAAATCCCAATAAATACATTGACATAAACAATAGGAACAGATAAAGTCCACTTCATCAGAAAACCCTCCGTTCTCTGGTTCATCTCCTGATTCTTCGCTCTGATATCTGACTGAGGGTCTCAATCCAACCTCCTAATTTATCAACCACACACAACGCGGCCACCGATTCATTACCTCAGATAGAGACCACAAATGCAATGCGAGTATTCACTTGCTATCCAATTAGTTCCCAAAAGTTAGTACTATGTTGAGTTCTGAGGGGGGTTCTGGTACCTTAAGGAACCGGCCCATAGCTGTAAAGACCGCCTCAGAGGTCCACTTCCCCTCTCAGGCCTCACTAAAAAACAGTGAGCTTAGCCTGCTCAGCATATCTGGTCACTGACATTAACAAAACCTACATTGAGTATTCAGCGCCAAACAGGGTCTTTCTACAGTAGCATGGTCACACACACACACACACAATCACAATGCAGTTTAGATGTTTAGGGGTTGCAAACAATAATCCACAGATTGTCTGGTTGTAAAAAGGGAAAAGGCTGTGATGCGCAGGCCCATTGCATGTGTCAAAAGAAGCATACCAAATAAATCTTGCGTACAGGTCCTCCCTCACAGCCGGGATGGAAACAGCAATAGCCGCGCAACAAAACAAAAAAATCAATCAAGAGCAGATCCTGTGTGCAACACTTACAGCGGGCAAACAGCAGACCTAATGATAGACATTGATGGGCGAGGAGCCCGGTCCTCGGGGAGCATGAGCCCCTCTCCCTTTGGCGAGGAGGAGCTGTGAGCTGCTTGCCTCACCGTTCATGACTCAATGCGCCCCCCCACCCAGCATCCCCCTGAACGCATCAGGCATTCCAATGTGCCTGCACACTGGGGGCAAGTGGATGTGACAAAGGGAAATCAATAACCGGCCCCTTTTATGTAAATGGGATTGAACTGAAAACTGCATGTACTGAGTGAGCCGTCTATCATGTTTGAGTTGACTGCCTAGCATCCATTCAGTGCGACGTAAACGACCTTTGCTTGTTGCTCTGAGGATTATTATAAAGCGTGTGTCAAATGAACAGGTTCCTGTCTTAATGTAACCAGCTTTGATTTCTGAAGGTTTCAAATGACACCAGCTGCATTTTACATGAAACCCAGGGTAGTGATGACAATAACAAGCACGCACACGGTCTGCTTTACGTTGTGGATGCAATCAGAGACGGGCCAGGCCGGCCATATGACTCAGCACCTGTATTTTACGCGTACATTTTTGCAGAGCTCTCCGGCTGTCATCAGGCCCGCGTTGTTCATATTGTACATCACGATTACATTTCCATAAGGTCTTGTCCACAATGCCCCCACCGCCACAGTGACCTCAAGACATAGCTTTCTATAATGCGCTGCAGGCGCGCACACGCGCACACACACACACACACACACACACACACACACATAGCCTCGCACTGCTGCCGCAGCAAGGCGACATCCCGCAGTGACCGCAATAGGCAGAGGCTTTAAGTAGCACATTGCAGACATTCAATACTTGAAGAAAAAAAAAAGCATGCAGGTGCATAATTGGAAGAAGAATAGCCGAAGGCAATCGATCAGGCTTACCTATCAGTCAGAGATCTGTTGATCCGCACGCAATTTCAAAATCAGACTCTTAATTCGGGCACATCGCTCATTTAAACCTGGCTGAACACAAAGATGAGACAGAACCATGAGAAGCCAGAATCCAGGACCAGTTCTGCTGGAGAGGAACAATGCGCCCTTTCTCCAAGAGGGTGGGGGGGGTGCACCTCATCATTTCAGCTCCAACGCTCGCTGAAATGGTCAGTCAGTGTCGTGTTGAAGTACAACCTCCACCCGTTAATATCACAATTGTTTGTAGAATTGTTGCCATTCATACACATTCACTCGTATCATTAATTTTTTCTACGAATAAAGAAGCCCGTTGGGAATTTTTTACCTGTTCGTTGCGGTGTCTGTGAGAGCAACTCCGGGTCTGTCGGACACAAGAGGCTCCGCAGCCTGCGTTTACCGTAATGACTGAACTAGTCGCGCCGGGACTTTGTCTGCTGTGCTCGGGTTAGTAATGACGGTGAGGCGCTCCAACCGTTTTCATCTGCGGTCAAGCGCGAAAGTATATATTGGGTATTACGGTAAGCGACTGAAGAAACTTCAGAATAAGAGCAAAGTTCCAAAATGAAATACATGCGGTAATTATTAGTTTTTAAAGTTATTCATAAAATATATTATTTTTCATTCATTCAATTTGTATTACTATTTGTTTTATTGTGATATTTTAATTAATCTGTAACATAGACTACAATTTACATTATATAGAAATGTCTTTTTACGTTCACGAGAATTTTGCTCTTATTTGAAGTCAGTTCCTATAAAAGTAAAGATGAAGGTTGTGCACGGACAGATGGGGAAGCATCCATTACAAGATTCCAAATGCACTTGATTGAACAGTTGTATATAAAATCAGACACTCATTTTTCATAGTGTCCCATGACATTTAACTCCATCTAGGGTTATTGAAGAAGATCTTAAATATGCAAGAGCACCCTCCAGAGAGCAACTGCTGTAGCTACAAGCATGTGGAAATGTATCATAGTGCTGGTCTTTGTAGCTGCACTGAACAATTTATCACCAGTTTAGCATGTTCATTCCAGATAAACAGATGTTTGAGGCATTCTGTTTTAACACTGACTTAAACTGGCCCCTGAAAAGAACATGGCCCCCCGTGGTCTGCAGAGGCTCATTTGAAGTGCCAGCGATCGGGATCAGACAGATGTGGCCGGGCAGAGTCGAGGTGGACTTCCTACAGGAGAAGACGGAGTGCTCTATCACTCACTTCTAATGGAGACGTGAGAAACCCTGTCGGTCACAGAACCGGGACAAGGACCTGTTGGCAGCTGTTTTGTAAACGTCCGATAGAAAGTATACGATTTCTGCTTGTACGCCATCCGGCATCTTTTACACAGCATTTCCTAATAGAACATGCTGCTTTCCAAGAACACAGAAAATACTTTATATAATCTGAAGTAAAATTAAGATTTTCTCCAGCAGAATCTGTAGCAATGGGAAATAAATGCTAGAGAATCATCTAAATGCTAGTTACTCCTGCCTGCTTATCTTCTTTTATGTGATTGAGTTTCTAATTCTGGGCACCCGGTCTCTCATCCATGGTACTAAAACGAAAAGCAACTGACATACATGCATGAAGATGAGCGGGCTGACCTTGACCACCATCTGCCCATCAGGCCCCCTGGTAGATGTGGAGGATATTATAAGAGGGGGTCATGCATACGGGATCAAAGTACGAGCTGTTTCACAGAGTCTGTGCCCCTAAAAAGCTCTGACCTCCATAAATGTAAATCTCCCAAATCTCTGAAACGACCTCACATCTGTCTATGGCGGTTAAAGTACACTCGGCAAGACATTTCACACGTGACTGAAATAAAGAACAAACTGTCTTCTGGATAATCAGATGCTTCACTTAAGTGTCCATCTCTTTAGAGTTGCTGACGGTCAGAAGACATCTACAACATAAATAGTAGGAAGTGTTATGGATTTGTATTTTCTACGACTTGATCTGTGTTCATACCTGCAAATCAGAATTATACTCCTATTTCCTCCAGAGAGAAAACCTAATGTTATCTTCCTCCTTTGCAGTTTCTCTTTTACATCCCTGTGATCGTCACCAACAGCAACAAGAAGACTCTGTAAATGTTCTGGCTGGCAAATGTTTACTAATACATTTCATAAAAATATATACCAAATATAGCATCAACAGATAAAAAATACTAAAAACAAAAAGTACATGTAAATCAAGTAAAAGTTGTGTAAATAAATATGCGTATTTTTTAAAGTATTCATATATTGACTTTTTAAGACAACTGTGAAAATAAATAGTAAGTGTCAACTAGAAACAGTATACAAACCTGAGACTACGGTGGGGTTATGCTGGTACACATCTCTTTACATACAGCACCGTTTATATATTAAAACCTGTGTAGCGGAAGCTACGGTAGTTATGCTTATTATTAATAATACTCAAGTATTAACAAGTACACCAATAAAGCAATCAGCATATATCATCAATTAAATGTTCTGGAATGTATCAAGTATCCTAATTAATGTTCCCACGGCGAATTTTCTCCTCGTGGTTCCAGCATGAGGAGATCTGGGAGAAAAATAAAACAATTAACTAAATCCGAAAAATATTAACTTTTGAGAAACTGTCAAAACCACCACTTCCTGCATAATCAATATTACTTAATTAATTAAGGGTTGGTTAATGATAATAGAAACCATTAACAAATTAATAAATCATGTGTGACATATTACTAATTAAATGCAATCATAGATAATTAAATCAATTACTAAATAATTATTGAATAATTGAAAAAACTAAATTATTAACTAAACTGAACAAATTAATAAATTACTATGTTTATTTATTGTCATTAATAATATCTTATATGTTTTATTATATTCATTAAAACGAAATGGTTTTATTAGAACTATTATAACTTTTATGGGAGAATTCATAAAGGACAAACAAGGTAAATAAATTGGTGACGATCTTCATAAGCACAGCAGAGAAGTGTGGTCCCAAGAGGGGCTTCGCTCAATTTCCCAACTCACATGTAGAGCCCGAAGGCCCCGCTGCCTCAGCTGCCGCTGGGTGTGCTGCTGCAGCTTTGTCCAGCAGGGGGCAGCGTGGCGCCAGAGGACAGCGCTGGGGACGGACAGGAGTTGCAGTCTTTCACCGTGGAGGAGGCACAGCCGCGCTGAGGCCATTCTGACAGGGCTCCGCCCAGCTCATCGGAGAGAAGGGCGTCCGCCTTGCCTGGTGCCAAAGGGAACACTCGTGGCTCCCAGGGGGCCTGAGGCTGCAGGAGGGCAAAGGTCATATCATGGAAATTAGCTAGTTTTGAAATTGAACATAATATTTTCACGTTTTACAGTTTACTACTTGTGTTGTAAGTATTACTTTCAAGAATATAACAAGTGTATCAATAACTCAATTATCTATTGATCGTTACACATGCTTAAATCCTAATTAGATCCATACAAGTGGTGACATAGTGTCCAAAACTCACTGTCATTAGGCCGAATGGCTCGGATGTCGGTTTAAAAGAAATCTAACTGCGGCCCCTGCATTAATCAAGGCTTGAATGGGTGCTGGAACATCAGTGAAGTGGGGGACATTTGTGGTGTGGAGACGGTCGATGTGGACAGTCTGGTTTAAGTGGCTACTCATTCCTTCTCTGATCAAAAGGGAAGTGGCAAAGAGCACCGCAATCAGGGAATCATCAACTGGGGCCGAGTGGAGAAGTATCTGTGTGGGCTCTCGAGGATGCGTTTAGTCTGTTCAACTCACAGTATGACTCACAGAGAGTATTGATTAGTCTGCAGCGCCAGCTTCGCTACTTTGTACATTCCTCGTCTGAGGCACAAATAACAGACATATCTTTGACGGCGAATGTTACGGAAAATATCCAACCGTAACCGCGGTTGAAGAAATCTGTGAGCAGTGTACTTCTGAATCTCCTTTCAACAGCAACTGTGAGGTACAAATAGAAGAATTGCTGTGTAGGACTAGTATGAGGAGTATGGGTTCCCTCCGGCGGCTCCTGAATCGCCACACTCAGATATTCGTTCGGGGCTTTTGAATCTTACCAGCCACTCCTCTGAGCTCTGCTGTTCACCAGAATCCACCTGAGCACAACCCAACTCCACGGAGCTCTCCTCTCCCGACGTGCACGTCCCGCCCCAACCGTCTGACAACCTGCTGCTGAGACAAAAAAAAAACAAGACAAGCGCACCCCATGAAACTTCACCAGTGAATGAAGCCCGGAGGGGAACAGAGAAAGTCTGCCATGGTGGACGGTGCAGTCAGCAAAGAGAGCAGGATTAGGATTTACAACATCAGCTGTGTCGCTTTGTTCAAATCTTCTGATAAAAGCTCGAAAAGGGGACAAACACTGCCCGACATTTCTGATCACAACGACCGGACGCAGATGACGCTGATGTTCCACCTGACCGTCTCATTTCTCAGCCTGTGTGAGTATTTTTGTTTGTGTTTCCACCTTTTAGGAGGCCCGCAGCATTTTCTTTTCCCCCACGACCAGCGTAATTTCTCCCTCTGCTCCAAGTCCAGGTGTCTCTGTGCAAACACTTCGTTGGCGAGGTCCTCCACCTGAGAACGAACACACACACACACACACACACACACACACACACACACACACACACACACACACACACACACACACACACACACACACACACACACACACACACACACACACACACACACACGGTATTTTCTTCACAGATCACAACAAACAGCTCCTGTGCTACAGGATGAGGGTCTACCTCCTCCTCCTCATTCTTCTCTGCCTCCCTGGTCATCAGAGATGACGCGTCAATCTCCCGCCAACTGTAAGGAAAGAAAGACTTAGAGATGAAGGACAATGATGGTGGCAGCGTGCTTCATTCCACTTGGAATAGTGGTCGATTAGTAAAAGCCTGAGTAAATTCCATGTGCTGTTAAAAAACTATTTATTTTCCAAAAGCACCGTAGGAACTGTGTGCGACTCCACTGGAGGACGTTTTGTTCCACACCTGGGCGTCAGGATGTCTTTGTACGGCAGCTTTTCCACTTTAGCCAGAGCCATGGGGATGACGATGTTGTCGATGCTGTACACACTCTCTCCCTGGCGCTTACGAATAAAGCCCTAAAAAAGGAAAAAGGTGGGACAGTTTACGCCGATGACTCTGGAGTGTTTACATACATCCACAGCACCACACAGGTTTTCTGTAGACTGACAAGCTTTTCTTTTTTTTCTTTTTTATTTCACTTATCAAAAAAAGCCAAGAAGTGCTTTTGCATTATTATTTTTTTAATCATAAACGGTCTGTTTTACTAGTTTAATGTATTATCTTGACCTGGGTTCAGGATCACGGCTCATTGAGGTCAGGTGTGGGGGTAAACGTCACAGTTTGTGCGTCACTTAGCATGTGTTACCCGCGAGGTCTTCTTGCGTGAGAACTGTGTGTAGCTCTCCTCGAACGCTTCATCCGAGGTGTTTGGGTCACAGAACTGGTACAGGACGTCTTCTTCATCTGAATACGGCACATAAATATTGTTGGGCTGAAACAGAGACTCCATTAAAAACGCAGCTAGTATCCAAAAGAGGTCATTTGGTGATGGTCTTTTTTTCCTCTCTTGATGGAGAGTTTTCCCTTCAGGCATCTAATCCCAAACTGATCCACTGTTAATGTGGCATGCGGGGTGAACACACATTCTGTCGGCCTGTGGATGTGTTGTCTCTTCCTCTTCCTCTGGTTGGCTCTCCTGTGTTGACTCGGAGCAGAGCCGGCCGTCCGGATAGGCGACAGACCCAGAACTCCTTTGGGACGCCTCGCATGCTGCTTGGATGTGCGACCTATAAATGACACACACACAGGAATTTCCTTTCACCCCGAAATTGCCTTTCGGTTCCTCAGTGATTTCACGCTTTGGTTGAAGTGTACAAAAGCTAATGTTTAACCGTTGGTCCTATTCTTTTAGCAGTTGACCGCCTCTTTGTTTCCTATTTCTAGCTCGCACCACGGCAACAGCTTTATTTGCAGTAATCACAGTGTGGCTAAATGCCAGACGTCTCTTCCGATTGGCTCCACGACATGAGACATCGCAATTCATTCAACTAAAAAAAAAAAAAATCACATGGTTGTGTACACATGCATCTTTTAAGCCTTTGTTGTTATTGTCAACAATGACTGGAAACGGCTGCCAGTTTAAAACGAATTTCAATGTCGGAAAAAAAAGAGTGAACTGACGGACGCCTGGAATCCACCTTTCGTTCCCACAATCGCAGTGAATCACAGTGCTCCCCATTCTCACGCTGTACAAACCGCTACCATAGTGAACTATTGATTCATTTGCGTCATTAGTCTTTATTACCTGGCTCACATTTCCATCCGTTCCTTGCTTTGACTGTTGGTGTAATCTCGTTCTGCTTCAGCCACAATCAGCGATGATAAGAAATGTGTTTCCATGGTTTTAGGTGGTGTTTACGTGACTCCTTTCTCTGCTAAACAACCATTCAAGCCGACAGGCCGATCGACCCGGTGGTGGGGGGGCGAGCAACGTATTCAATGGGCCTCCTTTGGGTCTCCTACCTCACTCTCTACACTCCACACAAACGGTCCGTCTGGTACATACGGTTCAATCACCGGCTCCTGGGCGAACAGCGGACGCTCGAAAATCAACACGTCATCGACCGCATTGGGCCATTAATTGACAGCGTGGACAGTCGTGGGAGCAAGGAGCACTTAGAGCTCCTAGAACCACAGCTGCTAGACGTCAATGAGCATTTACTAGCTTCAGGCTAATGTAAAGAGACACATATTGACGTCCGGTGGAATGCAAAAGGATTTTTATTTTGACCTACTTCTGCCTTGGACGGACCCAGCGGGGCTCCTGACATGTTAGGAGCCACTCATGATGCTACACAATGATGGTAATCGTTAGTTGCTTATTGTTTAAAAATTGTACATTTATGTAAACTATTAAAGTCATTGGAATCTACAAAAATATAGATTTTAACACTATATTAAAATGTTGACATATAATATATTCATAATAACTTTGAATGAATAAACTGAGAGAATTATAACAATATTTTGGGCTGCATCTGAGCAAAAGGGGACCAAAGCGCCGACAGTAATGTAGTTACAGCACTTCTAATAACAAAGTTGGGCCTGTGATGCTGCAGCAGGCAGCGTTTTCTTTGCATTAACATTAAATTACCATCGACTTCAAAGACAAAGACCTCGGCGCCGCTCCACCGGCACAAAGAAGGAGCGGATCAAGAGCCGCCGACGCTCCCGTCAGTTCCATAAATAAGTGCGCGTGCTTCCACCCGTCATCTTCCCCATCGGTCGACTACGACAACGGAGCGGCTCATGACGCGTTTTAACAGCTCCCGGTGTGCTTGTGTGCCGTGGCAGCTCGACATGGTGTGAGATCAATACCGGTAAAAGGCAGCTTCTTACTGTTGTGCAGTGGCGTGGAGCTGAATCCGTGCGCTTGATCGGATGGCTGGGCACAGATGAACAAAGGCCTTTGGGACCACACTTCTCTGGCCGGGAGTCTCTTGGAGCGGTGGGGCCAACGAGTGTCTGGAAGAGGAGGGGCATTTCAGGTGAGCGCTCAAAATAACCGCCGGATATTTTTTGATCAATGCCTCTGCGCGGCTCATCCTGTGCGCTGCGGACGTCGATTTGCAAACTACACGTTTCACAAAACGCTAGATGATAGAAGAAAGATGGTGCACTAGTTCCCAGTTCTTCCTACGCAGCCGACCTCGTGAACCGCTTTCTCCTACCGGATGAGAGCGAGGCGCTGGAGGTCCTGGAGGACGGGGCCCGACTGGAGCAGCAGTCTGCATCGGAGCACAGGGCCGAAGGATCCCAAGACGAGCAACACAAACAGGAGGACGACGAGAGAGGAGAGGAGATGGTAGACGCTGGCCGCCCGGAGTCCTGACACATGAGAGGGGGGGGGTGCTGCTTATTTCCATAATAGCTGATCTCCCTCAGGGCTGTATGCTCGGGTAGTGTTCAGCGAGGGGCTGAGACTCTGCCGTGATAGTGTGTCACGTTGACATGTTCTATGTTTGCATATGAGCTAAAGAACAGCTCGTTGGGGATCACACCTAACGTGTCAATCGTGAGGCGCCGTTGATTCAAAGTCCGCTCCGTCACAACAAAGTTAGAAAATAATTATTTTAGAAATGTGGGACACAATTGGTTCATTATTTACACATCCAGCAGGCACAAGGCAACATAACACACGCGCTTCTTCCTTTGAAAACTGATTTTATGGATTGATTGAAAGTGTGCAGTTTGAACATTAATTCTGTTTAATTTGAGGACCTTGATTAGTTGTACGGCATTCCAAAACTGAATCCTGATTAGAACAACATGAATCTGCTTTTCCCATGGCTAGGAGACTAGATGCAATTGAATAAACAAATTAATATCTTTCGCGGCTTCTTCAGCGGGACGCATACTCAACGGTTGAAGAATAAGCCTGTGGAAGAAATAGCAGCTGGACAGACTGCATGTGTGCCTACCTTTAGGTCGCTGGGCTGGCAGGAGCTGAAGGGGAACAGTTTAGGCTTGTGGTAGGTGACCAGAGGTCGGGTCCGGGCGCACACGTACGACACGTTCTTAGAGAGCCTTCTGGTGGCCGGCCTCCTTCTCTTAGAGCCTACGGGCTCAAACGCGCGGTCTCCTTCCCGATCGCTGTGGGGGCGAGATCGGGTGAGGTCTTGGACGTGTCAGGGATATGAATCGAGCTGAGATGTCTGTCTAAGTGATTCTCTGAGACCAAGTACTAGAAAACAATGCATACACAAGCAGAATGTCGATTTTATCTTCAGAGCCGGGCTGCAGGGAGGAGAGAGGCAAGAGAATGACTCGCGTCGGGCCAGAGAGTGGGGGCCGACCGAGCTGTTTCCAACCGGTTACCCTGCCTGGGACTCGGATCTGTCATTTATCAAATACACCCATGCATGGTCTACTTCTCCTTAAAGGGTGTCTCGTGTAATCTAGCATAATTTAAGAGTCCCGTGTCTGATTCATTCAGCTGCAAATGATCTACTGCAGAAGAGAGTGACTTGCCCCCACATGTGGTGTGTGTGTGTGTGTGTGTGTGTGTGTGTGTGTGTGTGTGTGTGTCCTCTACCTCCTGAAGCCTCCCTTGGGTGGTTTAGATAGCGGTGAAAAGCAGAGGGGAGTCAGCAGACTGTTGACAAACTGGCTCAGCTGAGCACTCTGCAATACAGACATCATCCATATAATGATTGATTCATGTGAGTGATTAATGAAACTTTAGTGTGAAACACGACTCGTCGCCTGAGCAGCGAGTGGGAAAGCCATCCATCCAAGGAAAGGGATGGAAAAACCCCACACGGTGTCTTGATTTTGCTCGCTGGAAGTGATTACTGTTTGCAGGGAAACTGCTGTGTGTTTGAAAGGAATCACACAACACTGGATTCCCAAAGAGGATGCTGGTTTTATTATTAATGTTATCAGGGTGAAAATTTCCCCAGACATAGCAAATATGTATGTTTGACGAGCTAGCAGATTTCAAAAGGATTCTCTCCTCTTACAGCCCTTGCATTGCGGGTGTGCGCGCCAGCTCGTGCCTCCCACCTGTCTCTCGATGTTGTGAAGGAGGCTCATCGGGCTGCAATGTTCAGCGTCAGCATCCGAGGCCGAGCAGGACCGGCCGGACAGTTCTCTCCGCAGGGTCTGCTGAATCTGTCCGTCGGTCAGCGGCTGGGCCTCCGCGAGCACCACACCGCCCTGAGACGCACACACAAACCACCGATGGGGGTCAACACAAGGGGGCATTTTTAACTCAGAAACATTCTGCCGTTCATAGCGACAACAGTCCATGAGGGTCGGTTGCATTGCTTTATAACGCCTTCCTCTAGCGTGGTTTAACCACAGTGTCGGACGATCAGGACTAAAAGCCTGTAATATGTTATGGCAGCCGGTTGGCATGTCGTGTCAGCCGCTCCCTCTATTGACGTGGGCGCGCAGAACGTCCGTTCGTCTTACCTTGGTAGAGCGGATATGCTTGTGCAGCTCCACCAGCGCCGGTATCCTCCCCTCCAGCTCGGCCAGACGGAGCAGCAACCAACTCCATCTGCTGCACAGCTCGGCTCGCTCCCGCAGCCACCGCCCCTCACACCCGCCGCCGCTGCTGCTGGGAGGACAACGGAGAAGGACACTCAAAACCCCACGTGGTGGCGTTACAGTATTCCGCCGATTAGACCCCCATCCAACCTCACAAGAACATCTTTGGCATATTGGGCCGCTAGCGGAGGAAAATGCCAAGAAAACGAAGGCACTCGCGGACTCTGACTTGGACGTGAAGTGCACGAGGGGAGAGGGGGGGCGACAGAGGGAAGAGTAACACAAAAAAAACACACAGATTGTGAGACACAAAGAGAGCTCGATTTGCCAATAGAAATATATATTTGTACCACAGAGGTGTCATCTTATGACCTATTTCAACCAAGTTGCCCGCCACGTAGCACGTGTCAAGCATCCCACCAGCATGGGAGAAGGTGGGGTGGTGGGTGTGTGTGGGGGGGGGGGGGGGGGGGGTGCACAGGCGCTTATCTGGGCCACAGCATAAAGCACGGTTGAATGGTTTGGTGTGTACCTACGGCACGTCTCCATGGCGCTAGCCCGTCCAGTTGGCATTGGTCTTTGCGTGTGCATGGCTGGCCTCAGCCCGGCAGTAGTTGCCATGGCAGTGTGACACGGGGAGGGACTCCCCCCTACTTCAAACACTCGGTGAAAAAGGTTAGGCCAGCTTGCAAGCAGCCATACACGCGGGAAGAGGGGTGTGTGTGTGGGGGGGGTAGTGACTGTAACCTTTGGCGTTGTGAGGTAGTGGTTTTATTACTAGCCCATGATTATAACTTTGCACACGTAAAAGAAAGCCTATGATTGGTTAATGACTACTTGTAGAGCTAATACCTGTGTTAAGGAGCCCACCGCCCCCCTCCCTTCAGAGACAACGAATAGGCCCCGTGGCGCTTTCCAACTGTACAATGAGAAAATTCCTGGGACTTTTCACCAAGCAGTGGGGGAGGCAGGGAGAGGAGAGGAGAGCACACCACGGCCCCCCTGCATCAGTGCGGAAGCACACGCGCATATTTGTTACATGACTTATATTTGTCGCACTGTACATAACAGTCAAAAAAAAAAAAAAAACATGACCTACCCCCCGCCCCCCCCTCCAGCATGGAGATGTCCTCCTCAAGGTGGAAAATACAAAGACACGACTTTCTCCTTCCTGTTGTCAGTGCTAATAAACGTGTGCCAGGTTTGTTAATAGCTCTTGTTTTATTGCCGGGAAACAAACTGAAGTGTTGAAGAACTACGTCTAACTGAGGAAAACGCTCCCCAGAGCCACGGCCAAAAAGGCGTCTTTAAAAAGAACAAATCCAGACTGTGTATTCAGGTGGACGCGGCGGCTTTTACAGCCCAACAGACTTCATCCCCTGTATTTTTGTATCCGTGGACATTTGCCGCAATATCAACAGGAGCTCCCGCGAAGACTAAGCAGGCTCAAAATCCTCATTATGATCATTTTTGTTGATACCGTCTTGTGGTTCCCTACCGGATGGAACACACAGGATTCTCATTCCTTTGCCTCCCCAGAGGGGAGGGAGGAGGGGGGGTGGGGGGGGGGGGGCAATGTGACACAAGGTACAGGAGCCAACTTTCTAAACCCACACTAAACATTTTTCCCCCAAGAACAAGGCGGAGCAAAGCTGGCAGCGAACGCTGTGTTACAGGCTTGCTGGCACGGCCCGGATGATTTCCTGGCCCGCGGGCTTAGAGAACCGCCCCCTCTGTCGAACCGCATGACTGCAGCGCGCCTGTGTGTGCATAGCTGAAGAAAAAAATGTCATCACACTCTGCAGCCGGCAGGACTAAACTTGTGCGGATGACGACCACGCGCGCGTATGCAAACTTCGCCCGAGCGAGACGTGCGACCGAACTCGTCCTCCTCGAGTCCTCCAGTGAGCCGTCTCTCCAGTTCACAGGCGGCATGCGTGTATTATTTTAGTTCCCGCTCAGCGTCTCCGTGGCCCTGCCCCCTTAGACCACCTCTGTGAATTAAACCGAACACGACCGCTCCAGCTGGAACCACAGCTGGAACCACAGCTGGGTTCAGGCAACTCAATTCCCCGCAAAAAGAGCCAACGCGGATGTTTGAGCAGGGCGAGGACGGTGACGTTCTTCTTCTTCAACACCTGCTGGTTAACTTTGCATCGGACCCCGTGTGAGAGCCGACGGTTCGCCTCAACTTCACAAGCAGAACACGTGGTGGGGGGGGTATTCATCCTGTGCCTTATAGTTTGTTTAGTCAGCTGGAACGACCACCTGTGACACTTGTGTTACCGCAGTGTGGCTCCCAAAACACACTCCTTCAAAATAAGGAACAATGATGACGTTTTTCGCCTGCTGGTTGTGATTCACTGCCTTGAGGTACACGTCCCACATGCAGCCAACTACTTGTACTCACACAGCTGAAGCCTTGTATGTTCCGTGGATCTCCTCGTCGTCCTCCTCATCATCATCATCCTCGTCCTCGTCCGAGCTGCTCGCCGTGGCTTCGGAGTCCAAAGCCCCCTGCAGGCCTCTCAGTATCGCCCCGCCGGAGCTGCTGAACTCCGTGAGCTCCGGCCAAGAAAATCGGGGCTCACCCGCCGTCGAGAGCGTCGAGCCGCCGGCTCGCAGGTGGCTCTTCAGCCCCTCCAGCTGCTGGCTGCAGTGCAGCAGCGCGTGCTCCCCCAGCAGGCCTCGCAGCCGCATCTGAAGCCTCTGAGCTCGGCCGCGCAGCCGCTCCTGCCTGCGGAGCTGCTCCCGCGCGGCCGCGTCCAGCTCGGTTCTGGATGCCGGCCGGTCGGAGGTCACGCAGCCGCAGCGGGGCCGCGGAGGACACCGTCCCACTGCGGCCACTTTCCCCAGAGTCAGTGTAGGCGAGGGAGGAAGACTGGTGAAGGCAAGAGAGCGGCGATGCCCATCACCACCACCTGGCCCACATTGAGGGGCACTACGGCGCCCCGGCAGCAGGCGAGGATCTTGGCTATTGTGCTCGGGGGCGGGGGATAAAAACATGTCCGGCACACCTGGGAAGACGCAGCCCACCTGGTGAGAATCAAGCAGGCCCCTGCTGAAGGACAGCAGGCCGAGGAGGGTGGCGGGGCTGGGGCTGAACACCGCCTCGCACTGGTTGGACGACGCCTGCGGACACGGGGAGAGCAGAGGGTCGGCGGGGACGTCCCGGGGGCCCGCGGGGAGACACGTGTCCAGAGGGGGAAACCGGGAAAAGCTCAGCCACATGTTCTCGAGGTCTCCGTCGTCGGCCGACATCATGCGAGACTCCGGATTGGCAGGCGAGGACAGGTGGATCCCGTGGCCATCCTTCAGGGTTTTGGTGAGGGCCGGGGCCATCATCCACCTCCCCGTCCCCCCCCTACACGAAGGTCAAAGCAGCGAGCGACCACAGCCTGCTCCTTCAATCACCTGGATGGAGAACAACATGGGAGTGTCTCGTTTCTCCTACTGATATCCACTAGAGACACACTGCAATGCTTTATTGTTGGGGGGGGGGGGGAGAAGGGTGGGGGGCACAACAGAAGCAGAGCGGCTGAAGCGAAGAGAAACGGCGCATTAACGTCTACTAGCGGACGTTGACGCATTGTGCGGTTAACGGGTCCAACTACCTGCGTTCTTCTCTCATCCTTCATCGCGCGCGAACCTCAAGCGATTCGAAGACACATCGACCCCCCCGTCTGTTCTTGGGTGGCCGAGATTAAAAACGTCACCTGGCATAACTCGGACCAAAAAAAAAGGAAATTTTTCCCCAAACAGTAAAAGGCGGGCTGTTTTGGGCTGGGTAACGTTCAGGGGTCAGAGGTAACGCTGTGACTTAACGTTACTTCTGTTAAGTGTATAGTTAAATTAAAAGCGAGCGTGACATTCACGGTCTTCTTCAACTGTGTGACATATAAGGGACACGCAAACATTAGCTTACACGGGTCCAATAACGGGCGTTAACACGTCGAACGTGAACGTTACTCACCTGAGGAAGAGGTAACGTGTAACCGTTGACTTAACATTGTTTATTCCAGTAAAAAAAAAAAGTGACACCTCGATAGAACGTGAAGTTTTTATCGATAATAATAAATCCCTTAACGGATCTTTTCCGGAGAAATCAACTCCGACCGATATGTCTGGCAGTCCAACGGGGACATTTATGTGGTTGTCCTCTCCTCGCCTTCACTCTCCAACTGCTGAGAGGACGGAGCGCAGCGCAGAGACGATGGGCGGGACCACAATTGTGATGCCTTCACCGTCTCTTTAGAGGCTCCGAATTGAAAGCACTCGAAGAAAAACAAGTCGACGTCCCGTATTCTGTGCTATTGCTGTCTTGAGCTAAAGTTACTTCATTATGTTAGAAACAAGTTACGAATTTGATTGTCGGTGAAACAACCAACGTGGGCTCAAAATGTACTTTTCCTCATTTTGTGTGATACGAAGTGTGAACTGCTCTGCATTAACATAATACAATTGAAACATTTCAGCTTTCATTTTAGTATTGTTTAATTCTGTTATTTTCTTATTGTATGATGACAAACCAAACATAAGTAACTACAAAATATCTTATGATTTTTGTATTCCTATTTTAAACTATCAAAACAAATGGCAAGAAAATGATTTAATGAGAAAGACTTTTTCTCATACAAGACGTCATTACAAGTTATAGACATCAATAAAATATCTGTAAATGTTACAGTAACTGAATACAATGTTTTTATTGTCATTATAACCCTCAGCCAACCAGCAGCAGCAACAACAACAACATACCAGGTTCACACCAGGTTTTTGTCAGTAACACTCAACCAGAAGTTGTACCTCCTGTCTGTAATGCACCTCCCTGTTTGTTATCAGTCCTACTGTAGAGGCATCATCGGCAGACTTCACATGACATGACAGTGTTGGAGGAGTGGATGGGTGTGCAGTCATGGATGAAAAGGGTGAAAAGGCCCGAACTGAGCGCACAGCCCTGAATTGTTATTGAGAAAGCATCAGTTTCTGCAGTAGGCAAACCGGTGTGGGCCTTCGACGTAGGGTCTGAAAACTCATAATCAGGAGTATCAGGAATCATGAAAGATTTAAGGGACAACAATATGATGACTTAGATTGGAACTCTGGACGGAAACAATACATGTGATTCATGTTAGATACACGTGAGACACAGTGAGCTTGATTCTTGATCCCCCACACAGTAACATGAAAAAATAAAACATAGTAACTAACAATTCAGAGATTTCAATGGATTTATTAGGTCGCTAATGTGTTAAGTTACAATATTTCCGACGGATCATGAAGGTATCATTTTGAATGTTAACCCTTCTTTTCTACAATCGATCACTTTTTTTTCAAAGGAAAGAACCCCTTCAACTTAACATTCATTATTTATTATCTTTAATGTTTTTTATTGAACATATACATTTGATTATACATACCATATTATATAAGTTTAATCCTTTCAAGCTAAATGCTGAAATAAAACAATTGCAGAAATGCAAATATATAACGTAGATTAATATATCCTTTTTTAGAGTTGAGGAGTTGTCTTACTGTATGTATGACATGAAAAGAAAAAAATTAAATAAATAAAATAGATGCATATTTTAACAAAACATGTAAGTAGCTCTGACCTCCTTTAACAGTATTCCAAGCGTCAAGTGAAGTTTTAAAGTTTTTAATAGAACATATACATGTGGATATTGGATTTGAATATATTACCTGATTCTGACAGGATTCAAGCTAATTAAATCAAAATTAATGCAAATGAATAAATACAATTAAACAATTACAGAAATGCAAATATATAACATATATATAAAGATATAGATATAATGTTTTACAGCTGAAGGATCATCTGACTGTATATGACATAAAAACCTAAATTATTCACATGAATAAATAGATGCATATTTACACAAAACATGTAAGTAGCTCTGACCTCCTATATCAACATTCCAAGCGTCAGGTGAAGTTTGCATCCATGTAGATTCTTGCGTGTGTTCGGTTCCTCTCAGCAGAGCCCTGGTCTTCTGGTTGGAGCTTCAGTATCACGCTCCTTGATCAGTCTGTTGTACTTGAGGTGCTTTGAAGCAGTGAGCTGCTCTAAGCCAGATGTGTTCTGCTCGCTGCCTGAATACAGCCTGACCAGCTCCCAGGTTGAACAAAGTGGCTGACATGTACGACATGATCACAGTGGAATCGATCATTGTAAAATCGATGTATAAATCATTCTTAGGAAAAAAACTGTAAATAATCCAAGAGGCAGAGAAAACATACAGAACTCCCTGCAGGAGGCCGGTGACGGTGACTCTCACCTGATTCCTAAACCTGGGACTGGACGCAGGTTGTCCGTTTGCTGCCATGTGACGCATGTGTCCACACAGGTAGAGTACAGTAGAACCACTGGACATCACCATCACACACAGACAGAACACAAAGTGGGCCCTCAGTGTGTAAAACACAATCCAAAACATCTCTTTATAGAAATTGTTCTCAGGCATGTCATCAACCATCGTGAAATTGTTTCTGATTAATAATAAATCAAAATCAGTAAAGCGTAAAAACATGGATGTAAAGTCAAACAGACAGTAAATCCTTTCAGTGATCCAAAAGCCGTAGATGATGGATTTGACATTGTTCTTAATCCAGATGAAGAGAGCACTGTGTGCAGGTACAATCTGGCTGTAGTAGAAGAAGTTCAGCCAGACTGAGGAGGTCATGCTGGTGGAAACACTGCTGATCATCAGCAGATAAAATATTTGGTTTATCTTGGAGCTGACAGCTGATTGAAAAGAAAAGCCGTCTGTAACACCTGACACAAAACCTGACAAAAGGAAAGTTTTTGTACAGCCAATCAAAGTCCACAGGAGAAGCTTCAGAGGCTGCTTGATTTTTTCTCCGTGCAGTGGACGGACCAAGCAAAAAATGTAAAATGCAATAGTCACAATGTTAAGAACAGCGAGGGACCCATTAAGTGCGGCATAAGTTTGAAAGTCCATCTTTAATCTTTGTTCTTTCCGTTTTGGTGTCTTCTTCGCTTGTAGAGAGCTTACATGTGAAGCCAGTAAAGCTATCCAGCTCCGTGCAATGTAACCAAACAGAGGGATTTGCATCTGATGCAAATCAGAATAGGTGCATGAATCATATTCTTAGGAAAAAATATGTAAAACGTATTTAATGCTTACTACGGATCATTTGATTTCATTGCAATATTCACAAAGGGTCATTGAGGCAAAATTTAAAAAAATAATTTGATGAGCATTCATTTGTATTTGACTGACAGGTAGAATTCACTTTCCTGAGTTTATTTGATATGATTTGGTGGATTTTACAGAAAAAACCTGGAATGAAAAATCATTGTGACAAGCAATATTCCTGCCGGATTGCAATTGTTTTTCTATATATACAGCTCAGTATATACATCAATATACCTGTTTGGAAACAACCAAGCAGCTCTTTTAGACATGCAGAGTTGCTGGTGAATAATAATCTTAACCTGTCGGGTTGGGAGGAATAAATAAATTCCACAAATAAGTGATGTCATCATGGGTCTGAATAGATTAGTTGAATCTGGCAATTTTCCGATTACTGAACAGGAAAACACCACATTTAATTCCAGTGAGAAATATGCTTCAGTTTAGCCCAATAACTAAGAACTGGGTTATCTGTTCAGCAAATAAAACATTTTCCTGAAAATCCCACAGAAAGACATTTATACGGTCATTACTCCATGTTTCCTATTCCATGTATTTATCATTTTTCACATCATGATTATTTGCAATGCACAGTTGCTTATGTGGATAATATAAATATTTAGTATTGTACTTTTAAACCAGGTACACTCACAAAAGCCAAATCAAATTAAAATATAAAATATACAAGAATGGTCAGAATTGGAGCCTTTGACGACACAATTAAGTTATTTAAAGTCTGTAGTGTGCGTCAAGCTTCAATAAAACAGGTTTTCCATAGTGCAACTCAATCGGGCCTTTCATTAGACATCCTAATGATATCATTACAGTTATTATCTCAAGTTTGGAAAGCTTCTCCCTGCAGAAGAAGTCGTCCAACTGTTTTCATAGGCAATGACGAGTAAGCCGAACTTCCTGAGTAGAACCGATTCTGTGCTTTTTGGTTAAACAAACAGCCTTTTACACACTTTCTCACATCTGCTTTCATTCTAAAGGTGTATTTGATCTAATGCCCTGTTTAACATACCGTCATTGCAGCTCTTTTTGTTTTTTATTTCTGTCATGAATGGCACCGCTTGTGGCAGTGTTATGCTAGAGGATAATTATATCAATTTAACTCTCTTATTCTTATAAAAAAAATGTAGCTTTACACTGTATTCAAATGAGCACTAAAGCAGGAGTTCCGTCTGTGGGGACTTGTCTCTGGAACCGGAGGACCGTGCAGATACTCTGTGGTGTGTGGACTGGTAGCTGGCTACAGTTGGCCTGCCAGGCGCTGTCCATATCCTTCCCCCAATAATCACACTAACATCTGGACATTCATCATCACGGTATCAGTTGCTTCATCTGATTTTAAACTGTCTGGAGAACATCATCTTAACTTTTTGTGCGACTCCGTTTTTTTTCCTGGCAACATCAGACTGATTGCAGTTACTTTGGCTGACTGTTGGTCTCCAAGAAATAAACACATTAGACACTTAAAAAGGAAAAAGTATAATTTGATATGTCTGTGCAAGGATTAATTAAACAAACTATTGTGTTTTGAGAAATGCTGCCAACTGGACATTTGTACCTTGTTGAGAGCCAGGCTAGATGTTTCACCTTTTGCAGTCTTCATGCTAAATCCAGACAAATTGCCTCCTGACAAACTCTCAAAATGAAAAAATCTGGATCGCAATATTGGATTATTTCTGATGGAACCTGAATGTATCATTTTGAATTGATTGACCCTCCTTATGATCAATGTTTTGACCTCTCCCCGCATCAAATTGCAAAATCATTGACAGAACTATGTGTTTATCGCTCATGATATTCAGCTTTAGATCTTTTTGTATCATCAATAGTTGAGAAAGTATTTAGAATCCAAGCAGTTCTCTTAGATGCGTTTGGATTAACACTTAAAGGTTGTAAGAGAATGTAATCAAAGTCACGTTTTTTTTTTATCAAAGGAAAGAACTTCTTAAACTGCTTGAAGAAGGAGGATGGCAAATATTTTTTTAAGTTTTTAATAGAACATATACATGTGGATGTTAGATTTGAATATATTACCTGATTCTGACAGGATTCAAGCTAATTAAATCAAAATTAATGCAAATTAATAAATACAATTAAACAATTACAGAAATGCAAATATATAACATATATATAAAGATATAGATATAATGTTTTACAGCTGAAGGATCATCTGACTGTATATGACATAAAAACCTAAATTATTCACATGAATAAATAGATGCATATTTACACAAAACATGTAAGTAGCTCTGACCTCCTATATCAATATTCCAAGCGTCAGGTGAAGTTTGCATCCATGTAGATTCTTGCGTGTGTTCGGTTCCTCTCAGCAGAGCCCTGGTCTTCTGGCTGGAGCGTCAGTATCACGCTCCTTGATCAGTCTGTTGTACTTGAGGTGCTTTGAAGCACTGAGCTGCTCTAAGCCAGATGTGTTCTGCTCGCTGCCTGAATACAGCCTGACCAGCTCCCAGGTTGAACAAAGTGGCTGACATGTACAAGTTAATCACAGTGGAATCGATCATTGTAAAACCGATGTATATAATACCATCCTTTTGAAAAGTACTGTGAATAGTCCAAGAGGCAGAGAAAACATACAGAACTCCCTGCAGGAGGCCGGTGACGGTGACTCTCACCTGATTCCTAAACCTGGGACTGGACGCAGGTTGTCCGTTTGCTGCCATGTGACGCATGTGTCCACACAGGTAGAGTACAGTAGAACCACTGGACATCACCATCACACACAGACAGAACACAAAGTGGGCCTTCAGTGTGAAAAACACAATCCAAAACATCTCTTCATAGAAATTGTTCTCAGACATGTCATCAACCATCGTGAGATTGTTGCTGATTAAAGATACATCAATATTAGTAAAGAGTAAAAACATGGAAGTAAAGTCAAGCAGACTGTAAATCCTTTCAGTGATCCAAAAGCCGTAGATGATGGATTTGACATTGTTTTTAATCCAGATGAAGAGAGCACTGTGTGCAGGTACAATCTGGCTGTTGTAGAAGAAGTTCAGCCAGACTGAGGAGGTCATGCTGGTGGAAACACTGCAGATCATCAGCAGATCAAATATTTGGTTTATCTTGGAGCTGACAGCTGATATTTGAGAAAAGAAGGCCACAACACCTGACAAAAGGTAAGTTATGGTACAGCCAATCAAAGTCCACAGGAGAAGCTTCAGAGGCTGCTTGATCTTTTCTCCGTGCAGTGGACGGATCATGCAAAAAATGTAAAATGCAATAATCATCGTGTTAAGAACAGCGAGGGACCCATTAAGTGCGGCATAAGTTTGAAAGTCCATCTTTAATCTTTGTACTTTCCGTTTTGGTGTCTTCTTCGCTTGTAGAGAGCTTACATGTGAAGCCAGTAAAGCTATCCAGCTCCGTGCAATGTAACCAAACAGAGGGATTTGCATCTGATGCAAATCGGAAGGTTAATACATTTTATTCTTCCTACATTGTGACATAATTTAATATTCTTATTTCATGGCTTGATTATTAATTTACGACATGACTATTTGTGATTTTCTTTAAAAAAGTTCTGAAATGAATCCTATAGAAAGTTAGAGGATCCACACAGCGACGGGATCATATGAAGTTAAAGGGACAACTTTAGGCAAACACTGGACTCAAGGAGGTTGTTTAGTCAAAGGCTTATTGAGTATGTTGGAAACAACCCACACAGACACAGAGAGAACATGCAAACTACAGACAGAAAGGCTGCTGGTTGGAATCAAATCCATGCTGTGAGGCGACAGTGTTCACACCACACCACCATACCGCCAAGTATGCAGAAGTGAACCAACATGATTTAAAGTACAAAGAATGAATAGAAGAAAAAGGATCAGACAATGAGCAATGTAGCAAAACCGAAGTATTTGCATCACGTTCTAATGGAAATATGCAAATAAAACATTTTCCTGCAAATCCCACAGAAAGACATTTATTATTACCATTACTCCATGTATCCTATTCTATGTATTTGTCATTTTTTACATCATGATTATTTGCAATGCACAGATGCCTATGGGGATAATATAAATGTGTAGTATTGTATTTTAGTGCACAGAAGCCAGATCAAATAAAATAAAAATTTTAATATAAAATATACAAGAATGGTCAGAATTGAAGCCTTCGAGGCCACGATAACCTTATGCATTGAGCTCTAAAAACAATTTCTTTCTACATTTTGTTCCATTCATTCATCCATTTTTTGGCGCAAACTTTTAATCTATTTTAACGATATACATTCAAAATCAAACTGTTAAATAATGCAAAATATTGTTCAAATAAAAAAGAAAAAACTAGAATGAAGTGTGAGAAAAGCTGCTGTGCAAAATGTTTATTTAAATAAGCACATCTGACTAAAACGCCAGAAACAATAGATGACATAAACATAAACACACATGAAGACAAACGCACATAAAAATAATACTCCATGTCAGAAATAGCAAACTAATCATGATACAGACTATAATACATTCGTTACAGTCAATGACAGTTAAAATCCTTCTGGTAGTTAATTACTCACATACACACAAACCTCATAAACAACAACGCACTCTCTCAAACACACAGACACACACAAGCACACACAAACACGCTCATCTGGTCAGTGTGTACACGAGGCGTCCATATTGATACTTGTCATGGACCAAGAGGGAACAAATACATGTTGGCTTCAGAATTCAAAGTTGTTCATCAGTTTCCATCGAGCAGAACTTTTGTGCATCCATCAGTGGTTTGTTATCGCCTTATTTCACCAAAACGTAAGTCTTTCATTATCTAAAAAGAAACGCAATTCTTTTAAATCACAGCAGTTGCGCACACATATTCATATTTCAGCACTTGAAGGTCCATATCAATGTTTTTGCATGTTCCATTTGCTAAACCTCACATACACTTTACATTTTATTTGTGTTTGTTTTAATCTGTTGGTTTTCTTTTGACATTCCTGCCGGTGAGCGCAGCGAGCCCCATACCTGCTTTGATTAATCATTCTGCTCCGATCTCTGCCGTGTCACCAGGCGGCAACAAAGATATTATTGTCCGCTCTCACGGATGATATCTACCTCGAGCACGTTTCCAGCGCCTGCAAATTGTTGTTGTTTTTTATCTCACGGCAGCCGCTCTGTGAGGCAGGAAGAACACATTACCGCCTTTATCAAAACCGCAGCAATGTAACGTGGGAGTTAAATGAGCTAAATCATGCAAAAACACTGAAATGGGCACACGCTGACGCTCTTCAGGCAACATTTTGCACACGCACACAGAGACGCCTGCATTTTACATAGTTAGTGTGCGACCCCGCAGACGCGCTCTCGCTGTGACGGAAAAACCATCGCGTAACGTCGGGTTTTACAGTGTGAGAGACGTTCTCCCGCGTTGCGTGTGTGTTCTGCGGCGGTCAGAAGTAGTCCCGTCTCCGTGAATCGTCGCTGATGAAGGAGGGGTTCCACTGGGCCGGGTAGATGCACGAGTGGCGGGAACCCGGCAGACCCGCGAACGGATACAGGCCGTTCCTGTCCAGGTCCGAGTTACGCAGCGCAGGCTGAGGAAAACGAGCACACAGAGAGAGAGAGAGACAGACAGAGAGAGAGAGAAAACGTGTGAGATGTGCCAAACATCGTCCAGAAACTTCATCTCGAACTGAAAGTGAAGCAGGAGTTGTGTTGCATGTCTCCTCACAGAGTAGTAAATGTCAGTCATCTGCAGCAGGTTCTTGGTGCTGCCGTTCTCTTGCATCTCGATGGTCTCCCTGCCCCACTCCGTGGATATGCGGTTATTTTTGGGGAAGTCCGCGTATGGGGACATCTGAAGGTCTCCACTTTTAAAGATGATCTTGTTGATGTCGTTCTTGTCTTTCCTTTGAGATCAAAACATTTTTTTATGATGGTTAAAACTTCAATTCACCAAACCATCGATGGTGAAGAAACGGTCCTTCTGGTTCTCTGGATGAACCGATACTTTGAGTCGCTAAATATTCAATAATTGCACTTGTTTTGTGATCTTTAATCCCTGTTTGCAGTCACAGATTTCAGTGGCAGATTACTGCACTGGTATCGAGACAATGTCAGTTTAAGGCTTAACAATGAAGGCCACTGCGTACTAAGAGGTAACACAAGTCTTACTTGCAACAGGTGACAATGAGAGCGATGACGAGGATGAGGAGCAGAGCGCCTCCCGCAGGCGACACCACGATTGCGATCAGCTTGTAAACTGAAATGTCAAAAAATAAGATATTAAATGTTGCACTTGAAAAAAACAACGTAAAGATAATGAGAGCACATTTGTTTTTAGTTCAGATGAAATATCTCCAATTGAAGCTAAAAGGTTAAGTGTGAAATGCCGGATTTTTCAGGCCACTTACAGTTTCCACAGTTAAATCCTCCAAATCCAAACACGCACCTGGAAGGTAGAAACATTGTTTGCAGTGAGAATGTGCAATAAAGACACTCCAAAAAAAAAGAAATCGAATTGAACTTACGGATGACAGGTTCCATTTTCCAGCTTGTAGCCATCTCCACAATCTGAAACAAGACGCTTTTTTAAGAAAGAGTCCAATTACACAGTTTGCTGCATTATTGCTTTTCTGCTATGTGTTGGTCTTAGTTTAAATGAATTTTCAATAACATATTTATGCGATTTTGTTTGTTTTCTTTACTTTAACACTCCATGTGGTTATTTCCATCTTATTATAATATGCACTCTGCTATTTAGCAAAACCTGCCCTCACAGCCTGCAGCGAAGCGCACGCTCGACTCACCTAAGCAGGACAGGTCGTCGGGGTTGTGCTTGTAGTAACCTTGGAGACACTGGCAGTTGGCCGTGCCGCTGTTGTCCGTGCAGGTGGAGCGCTCCGTATCACACTGAGTCCTCTGGGCGACACACAGACTTTCCACTGGAACACAGCGTGGACACACTTAGTCCTTATTTCATTTAACTGAAACTTCTGGTTCACGACAACCATCATGATTAATTGCTCCTGTGTGTGTGTGTGTGTGTGTGTGTGTGAGCTCACAGTGATGTTATTTAGGTACGGAATGCTGTTCTTGTACTTTGCTCTCATTTGAAGATTCTCTGCAGCAGTTGTGAAATATAGCAACTGGATGCTGAAGGCTAAACGGTGTCCTCTAGTGGCTGTAAACACCTTCTCAGCTACATTTGGTAGTGTGCCCTCAATCCCCTTTTAAGTAGTTCAGAGCTTTATTAAAAATGTAAACCTGATGATTACGGTGGCTTGCTTTTATGCCCTATTACCGTGGTAACTGAGCTGGTGGTGCAGGACCATCCGGCAGTGAGCCAATGAGGAGCTGCAGTTGCTGAGAGACATCTGGATGCTGTTGTAGACCTCGGCGCCCGTCACATCGGCGGTAATGGAAAACATGTTGACAGCTGAGATACGAACGCCGTCCTCTCCTCTGCAGGAAAGAGAGCGGAGGTCAGTACAGAGGCTGACCGCGTTGCATCATTTTGTTTCAACGGTTTTGATATGCATGACAACAAAATAGAGAACGATAACATTTTGATTTACTTCTCAAAAAACACTCACAGGGAACCTGCAGCGTCAGAACATGAGAAACTCCCATTTTAAATGGGGGAAAAAAGGGAAGGAACTTTCGGGAGAGCGACAGAGGAGGGATCCCTTTGCCGGGATGCCCAATAGTGCTACAGAATAAACCACAGCAGTGCGTTGGTGATGGCGAGGACTCACTTCTTACTCAGCGTTGAGCGGCTGTATCCTCGGAGGACGGACAACGAAGCATTGAGCTGAGGTGGGAGACAGGGAGAGAGTGTTGAGCACGCGGGAGACATTACACACATGAGCCCAATTTAGGAATGAAGCAGCGGCGCTGCAGTGCTGCGGACTTCTCCTCCTCTCACCAGCTGGATGATCTCTCTCTGGATCTCATGCATGGTCTCGCTCTTGAAACTCTTGATGACAGGGTCATGTGGCAGCCTGTTGACGCTGAACGTTCCCAGGAACGCCTTCGCTGTGGAGGGAAAAGATACAGACGCAAAGAGACGGCCTTTTGGTGAAAACACTTCATGACCAATTTTACGTTTGTTTATTCCTGTCATCACTTAATTTTTTTTTTTTTTACCTCTAGTGCATGTGCGTCCATCCTCCAGGTCGAACCCGACCGGACATTCGCAGCTAAAGGAACCTCGTGTGTTGACACACCGGGAGCCGGCGGGGCAGGGGTCCCTCTTACACTCATCCACATCTGGACAAGCACATGCTGGTGTTACAATAACATTTCTATACGGGCCTTCACCGAGAGCTCACACTGACTACTCGTCTTAATCCTCAGTGCTACGGGGGGAAGAAACATTTGAAATTTGAATTTGCATTCATGCTGACAATGTCGTTGTCAAACTCACCCTGGTTGCAGGTCGGCCCTGCCCATGCCTGCTGACAGTGGCAGATGAATCGATGCCCTTTAGAGCTCACACACATCCCTCCGTTCACGCAGGGGTTCGACACGCATGGGTTGCCTGACGTTCAGAGAAGACGCATGACTATTTACCATAAAACATTAAATCCAGCCAACCATTAAATTATGGTTGGCTGAAAATTCTCCTGAGGACCAGAATGAGGAAACCAGCATTTGACTAATCCTGTAATGATTGAGCTTATAAGTTTAGCTCCTCCTCATGTATTGAACGACCTGAGATCTGGCAGCGTCATTAAACATTAAAATTTATGACTTCAATGAGTGTCCCTTAAAATGAAGAAAGATCGTAAAGCACTGACTCGGGGGCGTCGGCGCCGCGGTGGGTGACGTCGTCCCCACGGCCTCTGTGCTCCTTCTGGCCGCCTGTCTCCCCGTGGTCTGCGCAGGCGCTGTTCCCTCGGTTGGGGCGCCGCGGGTGGAGGTGGAGGTGGCGGCGACGTGCCGGCCGAGAGTGGTGGCGAATCCCGGTGTGCCCGTGCTCGTTGCCGCCCGCTGGGTGGGATTGGCCATCCGGGTCGAGGGCTCCTGAGTTGAGTCCTGCTGGGTCGACGCACTGGGAGTCGGCCGCGTCGCGGAGGTCAGGAGGGCCGGGGTGGAGGATGTGGTGGAGGATGTGGTGGAGGATGTACTGGAGGATGTGGTGCGGGCGGTCGGGGCCTCTGTAGGTGACCCCGGGGTAGAGCCGCTGGCGGAGCTGCTAAATATGGAGGACGGGGTTGCGGGTGTAAGGGGAGGGGTGGTGGGGACGATGGTGGACGCAGCGGCTTTGAAAGTGTCTTCCTCCGTCATCTGTGATCTGTTCCAAAGACAAAAAAAAATTAATGAAATGTCTTACAGATCTCTGATAATAATACTAAGAAGAGCAGCTTTCAGGACGGACATCCTAAGTCAAACTCTCTTTTTGACGCTAATAGAGCCGAATGTGCGATGTTAAAACATCACCAATATTAATCTATTATCTAAATCAGCGATTCCCACTGGTGGGCCGCGAGAGGTCATTTACAATAAATAAATAAAATATTTTTAATTTTCAATTTTGAAAAGTTTGAAATTAATATATAAATATGTCAAATGGGGCGCCCTCTTGTAGTATTAAAGTAAATATGTATATGAGAAAATGGTATACAAAACATACATTGTCGGTTAATACATTTTTAATTGGTTAAATTCATTGGTTAAGGTCACTTAATAATCCCTCGTTTATGTTTTGATCAGAGTTGTGATTAAAGGTTTGAGTGGGCCGCAAAAGATTTTGAGATTTCAAATTGGGCCGCGGCATTCCTGAGTTTGGGAACCGCTGAGCTAAATAATAACCTGTTGAATTAGTAAGAACGTACCTGTCTGTCACACCGACAGGTGTGGGGGTGACGGAGACCTCAGAAACCAGCGCCGGTGCGTCCGTCGGAGTCTCGCCTGCCCCAGACGTAGCGCTGCTGACGGTTGCCGGCGCGGCGGTCAGGCCCGAGCCCCCGCTGCCCTCCCTGGTCTGGGATGAAACCCCCTCGGTACCCTCCTGGACCCGAGGGCTGGATCTGTGAGCGGCGGTGGAGGGCTCGGGGGAGGTCGAGACGCCGAAGTCCGACTCCTGCTCCGTCCCTGGGGGGTCGGTGGGCCCCGGTGCGGGAGGCGGGAGGGAGGCGGGAGGGAGGCTTGAAGAACTAAGGGTGGGAGCGGATGAGGCGGCCGACCGTTCCGACGGATCGGCGCCGGGCTCGGTCACTCCGAGGGGGGGCGGCGGCGGCGGCGGCCAGTCGGACGTCTCCGCTGGCGTCGAGGTGACATGGCGACGGGTGGCGTTGAGTTGCCCGGTTAGACTTTGGGTTCCTCCTGACCCCCCCGCGCTCCCCGTCTCGGGATACAGCCCGTGAGAGGAGCGGGTCATGTGTTGGTCCGTCGTGTCCTGACTGTTGGTCCTGGTGGACGGGGCGCTGTGGGTGTAGTCCTCAGTGTCTGTGGCCCCAGCAGAAACCCCCCAGGTGGAGGGGGGCCGACGGGAGCTGGAGTCCTGCGTCGAGGCAGAGGATGTGCCGTTGCTGGAGGGGGAGAAGAAGGAGGAGGAGGAGGAGGTGACGGACAGCAGCGTCCTCTCCCCAGCGCGGCTGATGGCGGTGGAGGTGTACGCGCGGTCGGTGTGTGGCGGCTGGGCGCCGGCGGAGGCTTCCCCTGGTTGGAGGACGGTGTCCGAGCTGTCCCGGGGGAGTCGGTCCTCCTTCGCCGTCGACACCCGGGGACTCGCCTCCTGGGACACAGCCGGAGAGGCGCCGGACGCCTGGTCTGTGACGGAGACGTCCCCCCGGCCCCTACTGCTGCTGCTGGTCTCCGTCGTGGCTACAACCAGGGTGGAGGCGAGTGGTTCGGTAGAATGAATAATGTCCTCTCGGGACCGGCTGCTTGTTTCTGTGAAGGTTTGTGGCTGTTCTGTGGCTGTGGGGAGAAAAAGAAAGAAAAGAAATAACATTATCGAGCGGTAACGACACACTGAAAACGTTGTTCTCATCTCGACTTCTTTTATATATTTCAATGGCAAAAGGTGAAAAGATGCACATTGTGTTTATATGTATACAAAGAAATAATTAATCCTCCATATTTAAGTAATTAAGAGCAATTTCCAGCACAAAGTAGTTGATTAATCGATTATACGACATTTTTAAAGTCTACAGAGTGCCAACACGTCTCAGATGTAATAGTTTGCTTTTTTTTTAACATTAAAGTTTATGCCCGACACAAAGCTCCTCAAACTAAATGACTCCTAAATGATAACATGCACGGTCTAAATGTTTCCGTGCACGTTGTGGCTCACTTCCAGCCGAGACCACCAGAGGCTGCTCACCAGGCTGCATCTGGCTTCAACAAGACCCCCCCCAACGGAGGGAGAGGGGGGGGGGGGGGGGTAGATGCTGTCACAAGGAGCGTCGCTCGCAGCAGAGGAGAGATGCATTGTGGGCAGAGAACAACCGGCTGCCCCGGCTCGTCGGCTTAGGGGGCCTGAAGAACTAAATGCGGCTGTGACGGCCTCCCCTGGGAAACGTGCGTTTCCTTCCTAAAGCTGAGCGAGCAGCGGCAGAAAAACTGTCACCGTGGGTGTGGGAGTGTCTCCGGTGTCAGAGGAGTTGTTGTTGTGGTTTTTTTAACCTGATACAAAGAATTGTTGTGAAATCTTAAAGTCCCTAAAGGCCACCGTCACGGGTAAATAAAGCTTAGTTTGGATTCCAAAACGGTGAATATTCCTCATACGGACTGATTGCTTTGCAGCTGCCTTCCAGCAGCAGAGCAAGCCGTCATCACAACATCGACATATAATCTGCTTTATGTTGACATGTAAGCATGTTCGATCAGCATTCATATAGACATCAACACGTCCAATATTCTCTCCCATTTTACCCTCCATAGCTTACTTTGTTTTACAGCGGTGTGCAGGTTGTGTGCTGCAGCTGGACAGAAGCACCATAAGAGGAGTGAACGGAGGCTGAGCACCGAGATGCTACAGAGCATCACAGAACTGAGGGGATAATTATCTGTCGCTACATGTTACTTAAAAGTAAACCACATAGCTGGAGAGTGTTTTTGAGAGAAAAGGGTATTTTCTGACCCGAAGGCAACCAGAGACCAATGGAGGGGAAAGTTCAACGGCAGAACAGCCCGTCCGCTGGGAGAGTGTGTGAGGAGAACTGGGCCACTGCTGGACTCTATTTCTCTCCCCCTCTCACTTCCTCTGCATGTGTCTCTCTCATTATTTCTCTCTGGATGAAGTCCGGGCAACAAAAGCCAACGAGCCAACGAGCGGAGGGACACCCGACCCGATCCTCCGGGGGTGCGTCTCCCCCCGCCAGTAACAGAGCCGCAACGTCGACTCTACACATCTGTGATTCACACCAGAAGCTCCCGTATTCATCCAAGCAAATGCCGAAGTGTTATTTTATTAGTGAGGATGGGCGGTAGGAGGGAGGGTGAATACACACATGGTTGATGTTTTATTGCCTGCTGATCAAATATGCAATTTGCTGCAGCAGAATTTTGTGATATTCAGTGACTGAATATTGAGGTGCGTTCGTCACCAGATGACGGGAGCAGGTGAATCTGGGTGAAATCAGAGGGAGGAGGATCGATCATGACCGAAACCAAGCAGAAAACTCACGAATCATAAGTGTGATCTGAAGTTATCACAGAGATTACAGTTAACTTGGAGGCACAATACTTCTTGAGGAGAATCACATTAATTGACGCAGTGGTTAAACTTTCATATGTCACTAAAATCTATCAAATACAGCATCAAAGTGAGAAATAAACAGCAACGGTTTTCATTACAACAGCCGTATTCCATGTTCATTGTTAGCAGAATTGTATTTGTGTAAATTAATTGTAGTATTTCAAAAATAAGAGCGTAGTTGCGTTATATAACAAGGTAGTAAAGAGTCTGTTCAAAGAGGAAAAGTATAAATGCATAACTGTAACACAAAGCGGGTTCATGGCCCTCGTTCATGAGGTGTCTGTATCACGAGGCACCGACCTTTTTGTTTGCATTCTTATATTGAAAATAATTTTCAATCATTCATTCATTTATATTTTGCATTGCTACGTCTAAGAAATTGTTAACCGCGTCTCCGTTTTCAGACGTGAGGAACACGGATTGAGCTCCGAAGTGGTCACATGTGACAAGATGCTTTGGACCAAAGGGGACAAAGGGAAGGAAGCAAAGGTCTCAGAAGAAGAGAAGATGCTCTTCAGGGGAGATGGATGATGAGTTGTTCTTGAGAAGGTCCGTGTTCATTGGATCGATGGAGGAAAGTGAATGGGTTAGGGTGAACTGGTGACCCCCATGTATGCAAGTGAGCGGGTCAGATACGTCCAAGTCTGCTGTCAGTTCTTTAGAAATGTCTTAACGTGGCGGAAGGGTTTATATTACAAAGATCCCAGTTGCATCTAGTTGCAAAAAATAAACAAAGAAACAATTTGCTTGGCGACAGAAAGTGAATTTTAGTGAATTGATGTTATAAGTGTTAGATGGGTTCATTTCAGAAAAGGGAAGAATGTTTGGCTTCTCAATCGGACATATTTTCTGTTGTTCTCAGTTTTTAAACATAAGTTTACATTTGGGGTTCTAAAATGTTTATTGCACAAACAAAGCTGTTTAAATAAATCTAAATCAATCATTAGCTAAAATAATGAACATAAATATGTATTAGTTACACCTTTCTACTGACACAAACTACACAGTTTCATGACCAGTTGGACAGTGTGCGGTAAAAAGGGAAAGTTGCCTTTTGATTCATCCAATGCGTTTGAAATAAAGAAAACCTACATGTGGAGCAGTGGCTCTGCGTGGAAGCTGAGCGGGACTAATGTGGCACACTGAGCAAACTGAGCTGTTGAGACGGGGGTCTTACCCGCGCGGCCCCCGGCGGCGCTGCGCGTCAGCAGGATGTTCCTCTGCGATGCCGAGAGACTCTCCGTGGAGTGCGAGGTTGACGTCTCGCCGCCGGCCGCGCCACCGAGTTCACCCCCGGCGGTGGAATAATAGAATCCCGCGGTCACCGGATCCGTGCCGTTGGCGGCGGGGGTCCCTGCCCAGAGGGGCCCCGGCAGACCGAGCAGGAGGACCGACAGAGACGCGCACAGGAGCCGAGGCAACGACCACGTTTCCATGATTTCCAAGACTGCCGCACGGTGGCCGATAGTTTGCGTAAAGTCGAGTGCAGGCCGGGGAGTCTCCGGGGGACACCATGGGGGGAGCGCTGGGGGCTACTGGGGAACTTTCATGAGAATTAAATAACTCCTGCAGCAGGTCCGGAGGAGGAGGAGATCCGCTGCTCGGGCGGCGGGGAACGGAAGATAACAGAGCCGAGGCAGCAGCAGCAGCCTGTTATTAGAGGCCAAGGAGCCAGGGCTCCTCCTCCTGCGCGCACGCGCACACAGACACACGCACACACACACACACACACACACGATATCACTAAATAGTGTTTTTATTCAACCCATAGACTGGGGATGCATTTTTGCTGCCTTCAGGTGTTGTCGGAATGTTCCACCTCAGCCCCGGGAGGCTGTAAGATCTGATAGAAACCCGAACAACAAAGTCATACAATCAATACGTCAAGTCATATAACAATAATAATGACACGCTACCTCTTTTTTATGACAATCAATACATTTTTAAGCCATTGTTTTGATTCTCCAAGCCATATAAAAATAATGTAATTGTGTAAATAATTTCTCCTTTGGACCCCTTTCAGTCTCTCGTAATGCTGAATATTCAGTTTTACAATGGACTGATTTAATTAGTGCAGTTGATGGTGAAAGTATATTTAGTGCATTTAACATTACTGGAATATTAATATTTATTGAAGCGGAAAGTACAAATAACTGTTGTCCTTCTGGCCTAATCCAAAACACTATTTCCACATTGCAAGCCCTGCCCATGAATATAAAAGTCATATAAAAGATTAACACTCTGGATGCAGAGTGAACTATAATGTCAAATAATGGCAAGGGAAAACGTGCGTGTACCTTTTGGCCTGCATATGTGCCTGTTGATAACATCCTTAGAGGAAGTGGTTTTCACAGCTTTGCTTTCTCTGCTGCTGGAACAGTGACTCTTCTTAACCGAGCAAAACAAGCCCAACACTGAAATAGCACGACCTCATCTGTCATCTCCATGCATTCAAGAAAAAAACAAAAAAGATATTGATCGACTGCTGATGTAACTGAAGTGTGAGCCGATCAAACGCTCGTTTTCATTCTTAATCAGAGATTATGTTGCTAAGAAGCGGCGGGGAAACATGATGCTGGCTATGATTTTTGATACACAGAGGGACGGTTGATTTTGAATGATGTATTTAAACATTAACAACCTGTTTTAGTTCAGATTTAACTCAATGTGAGACTTGGATCCAATCTGCAGACCCTTTTCCTTTAAAAACATTGTCACCACTGATTTGATTGTGATCAGATTGGAACAATGCAGCTGTAGTGCTGCGGTCCAGCATTTAAAACATTCAGATAATGATTTTGGTTTCATATTGGTCTTATCTGTGCTTTTGTACATAGTGCTATATATAGAACGTATATATTTTAGACACCATAACCCCATTACGAGTCATTTTGATACGTAATATGTAAAGTATATGTACATTTTAAATTACATTTCGGAATATGCTGATGCACCATAAACTACAGTAAGTGAGCCTTTTTCTTCATTAGTCATGTAAGACACAGCTCAATATATTACCTTGTGTGTTGAATCAGATGTCGCCAATGAATATGAAAATCTATTCATTTTTGGTCATTTGTAAATTGTTGGTCTACAAGAATATGGATGAGTTACAACTACAAGTAAATACCTGGAATTAATTTCAATGATCCCCAAACACACACATAGACTGAGGTGCACCAACATATTTTAATTCAACCTTTCTTCCACATTTACAACATGGTGCCCACTCAACAACACGAGCACCATAGCGCCCGGACGTACAGTAATCTGACAAAACAAAGATGGCGATACTTCCAACGTTAAAGCCATGAAGTATATTTAGACATTAGAGTATCCATTTAACGTATATGCAGGAAAGATGTGTGTGTGCAGAAATGGCCCACAGTGCCACATAAGACTTGGTAGCAGAGGGGCTACGTGAGTCAGTCAGTCAGTGGCGGCTGCACCATCTTGTTGACCCTGATGAATGAGGATTGGTGATAGCGGTGCCGAGAAGCAAAGTCAGCGTTTTCCTCGGTGAGCTGCTTGGTTTTAAGCCCGAAGCCAGACAGAGAGGGAGTGACAACGATCTCATCGCGAGGACATCCTTTCTTCCTGGAAGATGAAGAAATAGTACAATAATAAGAGTTTCATGGTACAGTGTGGACGGAAATGACTGACTTCATACTACAAGAAATAGCTGACCTTAAAATGTATTATTCATCAGACACTCATACCAATAAAATGCCAAATCCTAAATGATCATTTTGTACCATAACGGCAACAAAATACCTGAATATGCTGTTTAGTGTGGTTCTGAGCCATGTGAAAAAGCTGAATCGCGCCGCAATACCTGCAAATAAATCAAAGTACACACAGTCATCCGGAGAAATGAGCTTCATTTCATTAGTACTCAATCAGTGCACAGAAATGAAGTAACAGAAGGGGGGGAACGAGTGTTTAACACATGCACACATGGTGCTCGGCGATGTTGTACGGTGGGGAGTTTGCTGCACAGGTGCTGGGTGTCCCATTCAGCTACTCTGGAAATGATAAGCCACAACAGCTGCCAGGCAAAGAGACCACATGTGAAACTCCAGGTCACATGACAGGGGGGGGGGCGAGCCCCAATGCTTAAAAGGGAAAACAGCATATCAAGAACTATTCTGGTGGAAATAATGGGAGGACATAAATGATATAACCAAAAATAACTGCGGCAGGAAATCTTGCTTTAGCATTTTAAAAAAATAGTTACTTGCTGGCTTGAAATAAATAAGTTTAATTAAATTGTAATCGTGCCACAACTCATTTCCTCCTTTCAGCACAGTAAAACAATAGAGTAAGTATCAAAACTGAGGAGGTGCAATTAAATATGTTCTTAAGAAAGGAACTGCATGGGCTTTCAAACGGTTCCTTATTTAATGAAAAGGATTTTCATAAGCTACAATTACCGCCTCGAAGTTTTAGATCAACCAGACACACAGAAGCAACTTACTGTGTCCCATTTTATCTTAATACAGAACCATCAACTTGGACGTTTCCTTTGAAGTGCATATTCTTTTTATTTGGGACTTTCCTGTGCCAGTGAAGACGTTTGCTCGCCCCGACATCACTACGGAGCCGAGCCACGCGAGTCTGAACGGGAAATGAACTGATGGAAGTCACCTGTGGGCAGTCCAGGACTCGTTCTCCCGATGTAGAAGAAGAGCAGCAGGGCGAAGACTATGTTTGCCAAAGCATAAACCCACTGGATTATAAACATAATCAATACAGAGCTCAATGCCTGAAAAGAAACAAAAAAAACATTAAAATGATATAGATCTTATATATAAAAACAAACCACGTGGGGGATGGAAGGTGCAGCTTACCCCGATCAGAGCAGCCCAGGGGTTGCAAAACTTTGCATGCAATGAATCCTGCATGGGTCTGATATCAAAGCTCTGGTGCTCCGCTTTGCCTCCAAACCCTGAAGCAGTCAATTAAAGGGCAAAGTTACTTTAAAAAAACCCCCCAAAAACCCCACCTGTGATCTCCTCTGCAGTCTTCTCCACTCTACTGACGGTTTGAGCCGATCACCTGCGCCGTGTCTGTGAGGGTCGGCGTACGGATCCGGCTCCTCGTGGTCCACTGCTGAACAGCGCCGGGGTTCGACTGGGGGTTCTTCTCGAGCTGCGGGCTCCGCGCCCCCGCGCTGCGCCTCGGCTTCCTCTCCGCTCTCCTCCGAGAACACGTTGCTGTTCAGGTCCAACCCGAAGCTGTTCATCAGCTTCTGCTTGGCGGTGCCGCTGGTCTTGCCGCCCTCACGTTGACCGCTCAGCCCTTGCGTGGGGGAGGCATTCTCAGCCCCGGCGTCCACATCTGCCACGGCGGGAAAGATCTGGTCCATGTCCCTGGTGAACTCCAACAGCGTGCCTTTACCCCGCGGACTCTCGCCTTCGCTCCCATAGCGAAGAAGATTGTCCTCGATGAGAGGCGTCGAGCTCTGCCTGGCCGACCCGCGGCGGTTCGTTTCGGCCTGGACGAGGGTTTCCCGCTTCTCTTTGGCCTGCAGCTGGAAGGTCATGGCCACGCTGAAGAAGGAGTAGTCGATGAAACTGTAGGTGAGCATGAAGTTTATGGTGACGATGGGGGCCCGCACGTTGACCTGACCGATGAAGATGAAGGCCATGGTGAGCAGGCTGGTCAGAAAGATGGCCGCCACAGGAATCTTGTTTGGGCCTTTCTGTGCAAGAGCAAGATGGCGTCCAGGTATGCTTGATCATGCTTTTTACTCATTATGTTCATAAATAATTAACAATGCGTGGGGGGGGGGGGGGGGGGGGGAGTATCGCCACAAAAGTCAAAACAGACTTGCATCAATTAACTCATGAAAAATGTATGTTTTGGAAATACAGAAGTTCCACAAAAAATGGTGGTAATATTGAACACAGTGAGGCTTTGACAAAGAAGATTGTCCCCACTCTTCCCAAATGGACAAACTGTACCTTTGCAACCTTTTACCCAAATAAAAATCTGTCGCGTGTAGACAGGAAGGAGAACCAGCCATTGACAGGCACTGGTGAAATAAAACTGCACTTTAATAAAGCCGTTATAGTCTAGGAATATAAAAACCAAACCAGCAGAAAATCAGCAATGACTTTAACATGTGTTTCGCTAACCAGCTTGCGTTCACTTCCCAGGCCCAGTCACACAGTTTAAGGAGCTGCGCTGTGCGCCTGGCGGGCTTCCAGAGCACACAGCGGAGCTGGGCCCGGCCCGCCGCCCTTCCTGCGTTTGTTCTGAAGCTTTGATTCGGGCCAAGATGTCTAGGGCCTCATTCCAGCCCGCTGAGAGAGGTCAGACAGCGCTGCTGGGGTGGACGGGGTCACAACGTCGACGTGACTGAGCGTGCGCGTGGCGAGTTGGGACTCGCTGACGCTCCGCTCGCTCGTATGAACTGAAGTCCGTACTCGATCGCCAGGCACGGTCACCGCTTCCTGTCCAGTCCACTCAGCACGCCGCCATGTGCATCCAGACTTTTGTTGGCAGACACTTGTTGGCAGTGAAAGGAAGCTTTCAGAACTAAACCTTAGGTTTAAGTACTAATACTACCTCTCCTCAGATGACTGAATGCAGAGACTTAAAAAGGGCTTCAATACTTTTTTTCTAACAATGACAAGAAACAAGACAGGAAATTGAACTAGGAAAGTTGATCGTATGTTTGGCGCTCTAATGCATTGCAGGTTAATAAATCTACTAATTTGGATCCTCTCTTTACTGCCGTCACACAAAAGAGGTTACAGTGCAAATGTTACAATTAAAATCAACCATAGTGAGGTACTAGGGAATTTGGGTAAAGAGCCAATGATCATTGTGCAAACAACACACACCTTCACCACATAACCCGTACATCCTGGAGAACCTAGCGGATACGTTTCAGAAATACTCTTAATGTGCAGACATCCCTCCTCCCTCTCTGGCTCCATCCACCCACCCCTCTTCCCAGGAAGGCCAGCGCGGGGATGACCCTCTCTTGGGCGATGCACTGGAGGATCCTGGGTGCCCCGTACAGGCCGCCCATGCAGGAAGCCAGGGAGGAGATGTAGAGGCCCAGCAGAAAGAGGAAGCCCACCAAGGAGACCTGGAGGAAGAGGGAAAACAAACAGAGGGTGGAAGAGGATAGGGTGGGGTCGAGCGCGCACAACAGCTACACCCAGTTCCGTTCCGCTGCAGCCAGCACCTTATAAAAACAATGAGAACTAACCACTGTTGGAAGTCAAGGCCTTTTGTAAAGGATTGCTTAAAGCAAAACAATTCTGTACATTAATATGAGCGTGAGTTTGGCGCTAATACAACACTATTTGTACACTCTAGTCCACAAAGTCACGTATAGTTATAGTGAGTCCGACCTCCAACCGCCAGAAAATAAATTGCTCTGAGCGGTACACAAATAGAAATGTTGGGATACACTTGGTTTTGAATACTTCTTTGAGGGAGTATTAAGGAAAAGGGCACATCAGAGGGAAGGTTAGGTGGACTGTGGGTTTTTTTGGTGTGTGTCTACTGGCAGTGTGTGAAATTACACGCTTAAGACCGTAAAGTTGGGTTATTGGAACAGAAGGTTGTTTTCACATACTTAAAAATCAACTGTCTATTGAACCAGAGAATTATGGAATATTGGAGTATCCAATTAATAACAAAAAAAAAAAGAATAATAATTCAGCAATGTTTCCAACATCTCGAGACCGAGAGCAGACGTGGTCGGACAAACCGAGCCACGATGGGGAATCCCCTCCTTCTGTCGAGCGGGCCGCTCCGACAAGGCAGGATGGAAACAGACGGGACTTTACCTTTTCTGCTATCAAGAAGTCATAGCGCAGAGCTTCTCTGGTGCAGATGGCGCCCAGGAGGAAGACAAAGACCAGATACAGGAACCACCTGGGGGAGGGGGGGGGGGGAGTCACCAAGAGCACACAACACAGGATTATTAACAGCTGCTGCTGCTGCTTTATCACTATTGATAAGAGGGGGTGTCTGATGGGGCCATGCTGGAAATAAAGGTGGATTTGTTCTCTCCAATGAGGGTGGAAAAGGGGGCCCATGGAAGATACCACAAAATGATCAAAGGGCACCACTAAAGCTAGATAAACACTTGGAAAGTACCATTTTGGATGATTCATGCAATGAGGGGGGGAGAGACACCAAAGTATTTCATTTGAAAACTATTGCTGTATAATGGCATGACAAGATAATACAGCAGGCTTGGTGGTTTTCAACACCACAGTCGTGGTGGACCTGTTCACTTCCTTGTGTAGTGTTACTATGTGTGTGTATCATACGAGGTGAAGACAGCTGCCAGCGTTCCCACGGGGATGTTGTGTTCGGGCCGCTGAAGGTCTGAGCTCATGTTGAAGCCTGCCATAACCCCTACAAACACAAACAAACAGCAGCAGAGGTACACGGAATACCGTAAAATGTTTTTTCACACGGCTTGTGTATTAGGGTGTTCCTAATTCGTACTTCACATTTGGACCATGCAAACAAAAACCGTTACACGACATTAGATCTAAAAATAGATGGTGGGGGGGTCATCTCACCTGTAGCAGCAGGGAAGAAGACCCCAAAGACGGTGAAGAAGTTCTCCCCCGGGGTGTAGTCTGGCATCGTGTTGCTGCGCAGCAGCGCGGCTGAATAACCGACGAAACCATTTTCTGGGCGAGGAGACGACGGCGAAACAAAGCGCATCAGTTCTGAAGCCTTCGCGAGGATTACAAATCTACTTCCACAATAGAAGCTGCAGAGCAGGCCTGCCGGCTGCTCGCTGAGTTTTTGCAGTTTGAGATTGGACTGAATATGTACATCAAGTGTGCACCCAGGGATTTTTTACCCCTGGATATATCTTCAGTAGAAGACACCTACACGATCGTTTGAAAGCATCCGCACTGGTTTTCCTTCTTAAAGAGTCTACAAACATGGTACATTACTCAGGGATTCTGGAGGCCAAAATAATATTCTTATTAAACAGTCTATTACAGCACTAATTGACAGCAATCATTCTTTTTTTAACCCCCCAAAATAAGATAAATAGACTGCAGTGTAACATCATGATGGCCAGTTGCGTCCAGGTCTGTTTGCTGAACATGCAGGGGGAGAAATGGTTCTGCACCGGTCCGTTTAAACAACACAGCCCAAGGACAGGCCTATGCTACAACACCGCACATTTCCCCCCTGGTTATCTCACGATGGGAAAGAATGTGTTCACAGATTAATGACATGTTTATCCAAAAGGAAGTCACCACCCTTTTCAGAAGCTCAGCAGCTTCCAAGTTTGAGCAAGGAATGAGAGTGAGCGAGAGAGGGAGACAGTGTGCGAGAAAAAAAAAAAAAAAAAAGGGAGAGAGACAGAGAGACCAAACCATAAAAGTTTGATTGACCCAAAAGTATGTTCTATAGGAGGCGAATTTCAGGAAGCTTTAAAAAAAAGAAAAGAAAAAAAGTCTGTGTCCATGTGAGCACCACGGACCCCCCACGCATATTATAACAACCCTCTCGGCATCCAGACATAAATTCAGGTTGTTTAAAACGATTTCTATGCACACAAAGCGATTTATTGGGTACACTGTCAAGACTATTTGATCTCAAAAGCTGCAAATAAATGTGTCTTTTTAAAGTGAAACCTTTGAAAGCGTTTGGGGCTGCATAGTCACATTCACCATAGCATGCTCCTAAATGAAGGCCTGGTCAGATCTACTTGAGTGGAAGCCCGGGGATGTAAAGCTGCTGGTTGAAAACTTATGGAGGCCTACAGTGCAAACTATCTGTTGGATAAGGCGTTCCCATTGCAGCATTACATGGTCTAAAGAACAAGTGTATGGGCAGAGTGGGGTTCCTTTCTGAACGCAGCATTCCTCTGATGCAGACTGGAATGTGTAGTCAGATTACACAAGTGTCTGAGGCCTCTCCCCCAGTCTCACTGGCCCCATCACTCTCCCACACTAACCAGTACACCGTGCACAACGGGGCAGGTTGTGATGTTCCAGAGGTGGGGCGGGTTCCACTGGGACGATTGAGAGCTACGTATTACAGAGGGATCACAGGAAGAGATGATGTAGCGCTCGCTCGAGCAGCGGGCCGCGGATCGGAGTTCCGGCCTTCCCTCGTTGTCATTTTCGAAAAATGTGGGTGAGTCTGGTTAACACCCAAAAGCCGAGCAGCGTCCTGTTCCGTAGGGGATGGGGTTATATCAAAAAGGGATTTGTTTTTTTTTATCCATGCAATACAATCCAAAAAGGTTTTGCAATGGAATTGTTTGACTAATTTACTACACAATGCCACAAATTCCTCCCATCTGGGATGATTACGCACCAGTTTGAGCCATCTCACATGCTGCAGCTATATGCAGCTTTTAGACGATACTTTCCACTGTGCTCACGAAGGACGTGTCAGTCAATCACTTAACAGATCCTTAACGCTGGCAAAAGGAAGATGGCGAGTTGGCCGTTGTTGGAATTTGGAAGCCACTGCAACTAGATTAAAATGAGAATCTAATTACTGACAGCTAGCAGAATACAAATAAATAATTCAAAATTAGTATTACATTAAAAACAGGATTTTTGCATCTCCATCTTTGTAATAAGTAGAAAATTAAACTGGATTTGAAGATTATTTTCTGGATTTCGGTGTAGTCTGTAATTGCTCAAGACGAGATATTTTTTGGTGTTTTCCCTAGCATTATAACAGCTCCCCCCCTGAAATTACTCCACCCACTCACTCACTGACAAAGAAAAAATAAAATAAATAAACATTAATATATTTATATTAAAATAAAACAGCAGCAGGAGCTCAAATTAATGTCCTGCTTTGTATTTAACGCCATGCAAACAGACAGTGACATCCCATCGTAGCTTTCATAGTCGGTTGGTTGTCCTCGGCTGACCTGGCATGAATAGCGGTGGCAGCTTCCGAGAGCGTACGTAGGGGATGTGCGATATCAAACGCTGACCACTTTGTTTTGGCGCTGGCTCCTTTCCTTCAGGATGCGTCTCGGCGTTCACTCTGTGCAGACCAATCCGAGCCGCTTCAACGAGCTAGTGGACCTGCTGGTCCTGTGCCAACCATGAGGTCACCACCACAACACGCACAGAAGCTCTTAATTGGAAAAACCTGGAGTAGCCATTATGGGTGGTTCTCCAACAATTCTTCAGCACTGCGTCGCTTTCTACTGTAATATGTAATCTTTCAGAAACTAGCTGGAGAGTGGCACTGTTGTGGTTTGCTGAGGGAGGGGGGGGGGGGGGGGGGGTCGGGCATTAGGCCATGTGATTCACTGATTATGTATTTCTTATAGTGTACATGTTAAGTGTTTTTGTTTATGCAAGACATATGGTATTTAGTCCCTTTAATGTTGTGTTCAGATAAACACTGGAACACTTTCTCCTCCCACTGGACAGGACGTTGATAATCAGTGAGAACAGGAAATGTTGGGAAGGACTTCCTGACTGCCAGCAAAAGAATACAATCTACTCAACAAAAAAAAAAAAGCAACGTTTTCTCACCACAAATGACAAAAGAGATTCTCAGACTGAGAAAAAAAATCATCCTACAGAAGTTTCCAACGGCTCAACTAAGCCGAGGGAAAGGAAAGTTCCACATTGAGGGAATTAGTTTTGTTCAAATTTGTTGGGCAAATCGTTAGTCAAACCCAGGTCTCATGGAGAGGTGGAGCCGCAGAGCGACGCGAGACCAATACAGAGTAGAATAATCAGTAGAACTACAGCTACCTCTACTGGCCTGAGCCGGTCACAGATATTCACCACTAAACACTGTGGTTACCAAAGGTTTTCAGGCCACACTCAAGTTTAAAAACACCACTATCTTGGACTCCGATATGAATTTTTTGCAGCATTAATCGTTTTGTTATGGCAGAAGCACAGGAGGAACTGCAGACCAGCATTTACTGCAATGCACTGCAGCACTTAACTCAGCTACTCCTGTGTTCATCATGTGCTTTTCACTTTTATATCCGTAAAGTGGTGTCATCTTGCAAAGACTATTTTGCTGTACATTATGTGTTGGTATCATAAACTTGTTTAGCCATTCGAGAAGTCCGTTAACCTGATTACTGCAACACTACCAGAAAATCCACATCTCTACACTTTGGGGTTAAACTGGTTTCCCCAGAAGCCAGCAGCCATCTCACAGGACTATAATTTCCTGAAGAGGGCTGGATATTGTTTTGCAAACAACTATTTGCGGGACATTGTTTTTCTCGGGTTCTGAGCCTTTGTGGAAAGTTGTTTTGCTGCTGTTCACAGAATGCTTGTGGGATCGTGGGGCGTTGTTTTAAGAATTTTCTCGGGACGTTTGTTTTCCTAACCTTTTAAAGAACGTTTGCATGACGTTCGTTGGACACCGTTTATCCAAACACTCGCGGGGAACTCCCGGCAAGTTCTTTTTTGGGGAATTCTAACCGGGACATTGTTTTACTCACCGCAAACCGGACTGTTACAATGTTACAATTGCTTTTTAGTTTACCTGACACCACACAAAGCATTCTTAATACCTGGATCGAGGTGTGCGAAGGTGCCGATGACAAAGTCCAGTGTGGAGACGGCCAGCACAGCCAGCAGCAGCAGCTGGAGTCGGACGATCCACTTCACGCCTGCCAGGTTGATTCCAAGCAGGGCCAGCAGCACCGCAGCCGACATGCCCCGCACCGCCCACTGGCTCTGCAGGCCGAGCAGCTCGGCCACCGACTCGGAGAATCCCGTGAGGTACATGGCCCCGGCTACGCACTGCCAGGTCGGAGAGACGTCGTGAGAAATAAATAAAAAAATGCAAAAGGGAAAAAGGCGGCATGTGGATTGTCGTTCAAAATCAACCGCTCAGGTCTTGTGTGCATTTGTTGCTCACCTGTCCGAACACATAGAGCAGGCCCACTGTGCCCCCGAGCCTGCCGCCCAGGACGATGGAGATCATGGAGTAGATTCCTCCACTCCCGACGCCGCAGTGCTCGCACACCCCAATCCCCGACATCACCGTCACTAAAGCCACTAGCACGACCAAGGAGACGAGCAGCATCCCGAGCAGCACGCCGGTGTTCCCCTGGAGGATGATGGGAGACGACACAAAATACTTTTTATCTTCCATACATACAAGTCTCCTTGTAATTTAGTCTTGCTCTGTTGGTTTGTGGGTTGTGTGCATAGGGTGTAGGTTGCGTGCCTTCCAACACACAAACATTAGGAATTAAAGTAAATATTTCTCTGCTCTTTAAAACTGCAGATGAAAAATTGAAGGACACATTTTGCTCTATAGCACTTTTTCTTTTTATACAAATGCAGAAAAACAGCAGGGGCACTCAATCTGGGATGATGATGATAGAACAACATAATGAATGGTTTCATTTTGTGGCAGATTCTTTATTTTGGTTTCAAAAGTGTAAAGTAAAAACGAGGAAATGTGAGGAGCTCCATCTCCATTTGAAAATAAAGTCTTGCTTTAGACTAGCTCAGATTAAAACAAAGTCCTTTGGCCAAAGATTCAAGCATTCAGGTGACCAAGAGGACCAATCCCATCCTAAAGCTGCGAGAACAATAAATTGACAGAGGTCTCATGGATTTTGGTTTAGATTTATCCTGGTGGAAATCTCTATGGTCTGTTATTTTGTCTTTTTAATAAAAAGAAACTTCTTTATACGTTTTGCTTCTTTATTAGTGCACACGGAGACATTCTAACACAAGTCAGTGCCTCTTTAAGGTAAAATAGAAAAGGGAAATGGCATTGAAAGCAACAAGGTGCATACTAACCACCAGGTAGCCGGTGCGTAAGAACAGCACCACACCAAAGATGTTGATCATGCAGGTGGTGAAGACTCCATCCCAGGTACCAAAGAGCACCGGCTCCCACACAAACAGTTTGATCCTCCACCACGGCTGGCGGCACGGCTGGAAACCCTGATCAAGGACACACACAACTGTTAAAAGCACGGGCCAATACTTAAGACACCAAAAAGTCACTGTTACATTCATTGTTTTAGGAGCAATCACCGTACTTGTGCATCTTCATGAAACAAATCATGGACGTGTGTGTTTGTATTGGTGTCAGCAACACCCCCGTTCAACAGCGCTGCCACGTCTCCCTTCTGGTCACAGGTGTGACATACAGTCCAACCTATTGGCAAGGTTTCCATTACGGCCTACAAATGTAAACATTGGAGTGATCACTCCAGTTATCAAATGACACTGACACCTCCACTCCCCACCTCCCGAGGTTTATCATAGATTGAATATAATACAACATGAAGAAACTAATTTTAGTATACGAGTCCCCCCAATTTAGATAAGGCCCTAGATAAGTTTGTGGTGAAACTGCAACAGGTGGTGCACGTGGATACCCGGATGCAGCGGAGCAACTTGCTGCATCCGGGTACTTGGGGGCTGCACCTCGGGACGTCAATCACGAGCCTCTACCAGTTTAAATACTAAACGTTACATAATGCACACCGGTATAAAAACAATTAGCATCAAATAACCAACGATACCTTTTCACAATTGTTTTATGCGTTTCGTTTTGCTAAACGTTAAATTAACGTTTGGTCAATAGCTTTCCAAACCTAACGTTAATTAACAAACTATTCAATTTGATGTTTCTAAGTTGACATCAGGTGGCAAAACTCAAATATGCTCCAGTAACCCCTCTTTATCGATTTAATTCACTCTTGAACGAGTCAATAAGAAAAACGGCCCCTAAATGGAATTGTAATTACTTTTGTAACGTTAATACAGTACTATCCTAAATTAACCAAAAGTACAAAGTAGCTCTGCTAGCTAAACTCATCGGTTACGTTAGCTAACGTTAAACCTAAAGTTACCTTTCAGAGTCCGTCGTCATTCCATGCTGAGAGAAACAAAAAAATATATAATACTAGTACAATACATAGTAACCTAATCAAAATATAAGCGAGAAATCAGGCCATTGCTCGGCTGTGCCTCTGAGAAGTCTCCCGTGAGCAGGTGACCTCGCAGGGCGTGTTGCTGCTGTGTTCGCTCCGGCGAGCCTCCGGTTACTTAATCATTAAAGCTGGGAAATGTGCCGCGCTTATGGTTTTATTTGTTGAGTTATTTCCTTGAACCTGATTGGTCCGCAGGTTTTGGGAAGGCGGTCCTGCTTTTTCAGCCGTGAGGTCAGTGTGAAAGGCCCGCATCGGAAAATGTGGATAAAAAAAGAGCAGCAGAGTGAAAGAAACTCCTTTGATGAAACCACCAGCATGTCGGGAGAAAGAAAAAAAATAAGTAAAATTCTGTGAATTATTTTATTTATAAGAACATGACACACAACAAGCAAAACAACAATTTAATAAGATTGTTTACAAATCATAATATATTGTAAAAATCTAATCATATGGGTTACTTGACTGAAAATAATGATCTACGATTAAAGCTGCACATTACTCATAAAACGAGTTCACTCGACCCAACAAGTTAGAGACCATGCAAATAAACCTTAACTAACTCAGGTGTATAACTTAAGCTCAACCTCTGAGCGAAGCACCAGGGCTTCCTCGTCAAGTTCTCTGAAAGAATGAAAGCGACCAATTCAAAGGATGGACATGCCCATCGGCAATTGAAACGCCTTGACACAAACGACCTTTGACAGAGATAAATGAGGGTGGCGATAGTGACTGCATATGATATACTGTACATATCAGTGCCTTAAAGGACATGTTTCAAAAATAGTTTTTATCAAAAGAATTCAATAATTCAGACCTTTTTACACAAAACATTTTCTCTAGCTTATACAAGGACACTTATGGCCAGTTTACTGACAAAAGTTAATTAAAAAGTATACAATACTATAGTTCTGCTGATACAACTCATGAACTCAATTTTCAATTAGCCAATTGAATTTTAAACTTCTCAGAGAACAATTCGTAGGATACAATTTACCGACGCAGAATCGCTCTGCAATGTACTTTGAATATCTGCTTACAATGACATAAGAAGCTAGTGAAGTATTTCAACCACAACACTTATTTTGTTGGTATTTTAACAGACATGAATTCCAGCTGACCACAGCTGTTGAGGGTATATACTTGATAACAAAAATAAAAGAGTTCAGATAGATAGAGTATTACTAAAACCAAATGAACATTTTCTTGAAGTGGGGGTTTGTCAATACCAACCGTTTGATACAGTAAATCCCATCAAAATGCACAATCAACTGCATTAACTTACAAAAAAAAAAAAAATCACCTTAATCTGTCGTTAGTGAAAATGTAAAAGTGTAACGTTTCTTCTGGTAACCAAGGTGATGTATATACACAAACCTCAGGGAGCCGCGTCGCCAGGTGAAAGGGACTCATCGCTGAGTAATAAATGCTGGAAAACTAGTTCCTGAGCCTTTCCACCGACAAAAAGTGTCTCTCGCACAAGTCTCAAAGATCTAAGAGCTCTTCTCTGAACATAAAAAATATTTCATGTATTTACAGCAGGATATCTTCTACACATTCTAGTGGGAATGTTTGAGGAGGAAAAAAAATAAAGCATTTGCTGACTGTCCCTGATTGTCCGGAGAAGTGCGACGAGGGGGAGTTCAACATGGATTATCGGACCTAATCTCGCGGTGCATATAAAAACAGTGTTTTACACAATAGCCCCTAAAACGTTGCGCACACGTGTGCACGCGGAATACAATCAACAGCGCGGTGAAGGCCAGCGGAGACCTTACTCCAACGCATTCCACAGGGCACGGACAGATGTGGCTCAATAACCGATTCTAGCAGGTTGCGGATCGAAAAACAGAAGACGGCTTGACGACATGATTCCGGACTCACAAACACGCAGTGAGCAGTCGACCCGGAACGCGTTTTCCTTTCCAGCCACAGAGAACTGAAAGAAAACACCACGGGCAAAATTAAATAACGCTCCCAGTATTACGGACTGAATAGGTTTATAGCTTATGTGTTTATGGTTATTGTGCACAACAGAAATGAGTAAAGGACAGACTGGAATGAAAGAAAAAAAAAAGAAAGGCACCTTTGCTAAACTAATAGAAGTGGAAAACAGAGCACCACATTTCCATGTGTATTGTCTTTCATAATATCAATCAGCACAATTGGGTCAAATCACATTGTTGTGAACCTGTGCAACTTCAAGGAGGAGCAAGCCAAAGTTCTGCAAAGGTGCAGCTGCTTGAGTCACATCATAAGTGGCAAAAAGCTGTGTGTAATTTTCAAATAAGTACATACCACATTCCATGTAGTGAAAGGATGTGCAATTTGTGCAAAAACTAACCACAATCCTTTAGAAGTAATTTCATTACAACTTTCACTGCTGAAGGAAAATAATAATGACTCTGCAACCATTACATGAATGCAGCAATTTGATACATAAATCTAAATTCTAATCTTTCTTTTCTGGCTGTGCTGCACTAGGAGCAGAAATTCGTGGGCAAAAGGGCATACATTTAATTAATGAATTCATTTTTTAAATGATCATGTAAAATGTTGTATTTTCTTTGGCCCACCACACCAAATGAACCAAATAAACTAGATTCCATACGAGTGGAATACAATCAAGTTTCTTGTAGCATCATTGACACGCTAATCTCAGGTGACAGTAAAGTGACTTAAAGTGAAGAATCCTTTATCATCTAATCATGGTTGAAATGTAACAGGAGTGATAATGCTGGAATAAGATGGTTCCTGGAGTGGACTTAAATATAACCAGGTAAACAGCAAAAGGAGGTAGAGGTACTCCTTACAACATACAGTAAGAGCATATTTAGGTATATATGTATATATATATATATATATATATATATATATATATATATTTATACGTACATATGTATGTAAATATGTATATATTAGTAGGGCCTATGTTTCAAGAAGTGGAAATATTGCATTAAGCAGCAAGAGTGACTTGATCATCTTTGAGCCGACTGATTGACAAAACATTAAACATAAATTTAGCAACGGTTGGAGAAAATCTTTCACGTTGCCTTTTTTTTAACTTTGGTCGCTAATCTCTTGATGCAAATTCTGGGTGAAGAAATAAATCCATGCACAACTCAAATTGTTGTTTTTTAGGGGGAATGCCAATAATGATGATAGGCATTTTTCACTATATCCTATTTCGTGCTTGACAAAATGATAGTTTAAAAAAATAATAATAAATTGTTATTTCAAACCAAATGCTTTGAAGAAAGAGGAAATAGTTAAGGGGACTTGTTTTGGCAAAACAGGAAACACGAGATAAAGTGCCGCTGAAATCATGATCAGAAATGAATCCTTGAACGGATTCCCGTCAGCCGAAGGTTTCACTGGAGGAAACGTCGGGGGAGGAGTTCAGTTGAGACCTGGTCTCGGCGACTCGGGCCGCCGGGAACTCGCAGAAGTCTGTGCCGTGTCCTCGGAGACCCAGCTGTCCATTGGCCACGGTAAACAGCGAGGGGGCTCCGGGTCGGGACGTCTGGAAGTGAGACTTGAAGTTCTGGTCGAAGGAGCTTATCTGGAAAGTCTGCAGGATGCCCTGCGAGGCGTCCGTCTTTTTGGAGGGAGACACCTGCTCCAGGAAGTCCTCCTCCGCCGGGGACACGGCCGAGGGCGGGCTGGTCTCGTCGCCCGAGAACGAAAACGAGTGCTGCGAGTCCCCGACCAGTAATCCAAAGCTGGGTTTCTCTAAAGTGGGCCTCAGCGGGGAGCTCAGCCCCGACTTGAACCTGCTCGGGGAGGGAAACTGCTTCTCGGTGGAGAACAGGGGCTGTCCGGCCAAGGTGGGGTTCTCGGACACCAGGCTGAGGCTCTGGCTGGTCAGGTAGCTGTCGTTCTGGCTGGTCCGCTCCAGCGCCTGCTGGAGGAACTTGGAGTACTCCTGCAGGAGGCTGACCTTCTCGGGGGCCGGCTGGGCCTGGGTGCCGGAGGCTCCGAGGCTCTCGGTGGCGGCGCTGGCAGCGCCCCCCGCCTTCCGACACGTCGGAGGAGTTTATGGATATGCTCGACGTCACCTCCGTGTCGGCCACGCTGAAGCAAATGTCCGACTGCCCGTTGGCTTTGTTGGAGTAGTGGTCCAGCAGTGTCTGGAGGACCTCGTCGGGCAGCACGCTCTTCTCCGGCAGCGCGCTCTTATCGTGCGCCGCTTTGGCCCCGGCGTTGGTGGCCTGCGGCGCCAGGATGGCAGCGCGACCGTTCTCGCCGATGGCCGCCGCGGTTTGCGCTGCAGGTGGCTGGGAAGAAACGCTGTAGTCCCGGCCGGTGTTGGCCATCGCCGCCTGAAGGTAGCGCTTCTTTTTGAGGAACTGCATGGCGTCGTCGTAGTTCGTGCTGGCCGCCGCGGGCTTCGCCGGCCCCCCTTGGAGGGTTTGGGCCGGCTCGAGGTCGGCGCTGCCCTCCGCTTCTGAAAGGCATTGCTTGTCCACGATTTCAAAGGTGTACTGCGTGACCTTAGTGGTTTCCTCAAAGGAAGACAAAGTGGAAAGGCAGGGCAGAGTTTGTTCACCGGACTGTTTCAGGCTCCTCTTGGGGACCTTCTTCAGGACCAGCTTGGGAGGAGTTGTGCTCCCCGACGACGAGGCGCCCTGCCGGTGCCGGCCGGCCGACTCCTCCGGAAGCTCCGCTGAGTAATCCGCGATCACGTACTCGTGTTTGACCTTGGAGAACGCGGCAGAGAAGGGTAGACTTTGGATCCTGCTCTGTCTCTGCTCGTCCCTCGACTCCGCTTCGGCGACTGCTACGCCGGCAGAGGCTCCCGGTGTTTTGTCCGCGCACTTTTGACGCTTTTTCTTGGGCAGCGAACACTCTCTGGCGAGAAAGGCGAGGCCCAAAGGATCCGCTTCACGCAAGGGCCCGACTTTACCCGCCGCTTTCGCCATCTCTCGCTCTCTGTTCTCATGACACATTCGTCTGTGCTTTAAAACCCGGTCGGTTCTGGAGAAGTACTGTGGACAGAGGACAAAGGCATATATTGGATCACCATTGGGTTGCAGTACGTCCTGTGTTTACATCCTGCAGTCCAGCACATTTAAAGGCCGCTAATATGAGCAGCAAATCAGATTGTATGATTATTCTAACATCCGATTCACTACCACGTTGGATTGGCATGTTGCATCAGCATGCAGCAGTTCCCTAGCCAATAAGAGCAGAACTATACCTGGTGACAGTAGTCACACTGGTAAGGCTTCTCGCCGCTGTGAGTCCTCTTGTGTCTCTCCATGTGGTACTTCTGGATGAACCTCATCCCGCACTCATCACAGCGAAAAGGCTTCTCACCTAAACAAAAGAGAGAAATCAGACTAAAAACCAAACTACATAAAAGGGCGTCCCAGCTGCATTTGTTCTGCACTCACCAGTGTGGATCTTCTCATGTCTCTGGAGGAGATATTTCTGAATGAAGCGCATATCACACTGGCTGCACTGAAATGGCTTCTCACCTGCAGAATGAGCGATACATGTCAGTGACAGCGGTGCTGAACTTCACATGATAAATTAATCTTTAAAAGGTAGCCTTGTTCTTATTTTAATCTACTCTCGAGACATAACTATTCACTTCAAAAGCAAGATGGCATTTCGACACGTGACCGAGTCATTCGTACCCGTGTGAATGAAGACGTGCCTCTGTAGATGATAGTTGGTTCTGAATGCAGCATTGCAGTGATCACAGACGTGACACTTGGGGCTTTGCATGCCCAACGATTCTTCATCAGTGATGTTGAGAATCTGCAAAGGGAACAAAGACGTATTAGTATTGGATTCATTCTTAAGAGTTATACAGATGCAAACATGTTAACTTGCACCTTTGCTGGTGAACGCTGCTTCCTCTTTTTCTTCTTGGGACAAATCATCAAGTCCTTAACTGCTTTTTTGTCCTTCTTCATCAGCACCTGTGACTCGGACGACTTCAGTTCTTGCTTGATGCTCAACTATAAAAAAGAAATAGGAGCGTCATTTAGCAAGGCACGTGACCTACTTAAGAGCTCAGTCACTCATCCGGAAGCTCATGGGGGTCAGGCAGGTGCAGTAGGGCGAGTTGAGGGCAATCACCCAATGTGAAGTTACCACACCTCTGCAATTTAAAAACGTGATTTGTAAGATTGGGTGCATTTCTATTGCCTCTAAATGGCTCTCAACATGGCGGCGGTAAAGCAGATGGCTCGCAGCTAGCGGCGAATTCTTTCTCTGCTCACGTCTTTGCGCTGCAGATAGTTGTTTGCAGCTACCAAATGACTGGAAACCAAAATGATTAAAGTCAACACCCCTTAGAGGACAGGGGATGTGGCTCAAACCTCCTTTGAGGGTGGAGGTATAATGACCAAAAGGGAAACCTCTGGTACTAGAAAACCTAAAACAGATGAAAAATGACAAGCATTGCCTGATCTGGGAGCTGATCCCCCAAATTACATGTTGCCATGTTCACGATTCACCAAAACCTGTTTTTTCTTACTGACAGAGATCAGTAAGATAACGTGTAATAAACAGGTGTGTGTGTGTGTGTGTGTGTGGAGGGGGGGGGGCAGGGGGAGGGGGAGCGGTTAGGGGGGGACTTACCACTCCTAGTATTAGTGTTATACACTTTTTTCCACCGTTCTCTGTGGCATTATCTAGCAAACAGAGTCTCTACCAATGCATGAGTGTTACAGCAGTAAGTGGGTTTCGGATGCAGCAGTGAATTTCGAATGTTGAGGGAACTGGTGTCTCGTCACAAACATTGCACAGGATGACATGAATAAGACATGTGATGACATGTACAGCGTCCACACAAACACTTGTATTAATGCACAATCTACTTCTCAACTGGCATGAACTCACTGGCATATGAAGCAAGCAGGGCAAGTTATTGGTGAGTTTTAGGGGGAAATGCACTCCCACCTCGCCTCCACCCCCCTCCTCTTCTCCTCCTCCTCCTCTACCATTCTTGATCATCTCTTCCTGCATCATCAGCTGCTCTGGAGGTATGAGGTCATGCGTGACCAGAGAATTTCCAGTCAAGTCATCATCATCATCTACATCGTCGTCGTCCTCATCGTCATCGTCGTCCTCAGCCAACAGAGGGTGGTTTGCCAGTGATCGTTCCCCCAGAGTCATCACCACCAGTCCTCCTCCCCCGAGCCCAACTCTCCCCGCGCCATCTAGCCCTCCGCTGCTGCATTTCAGCAGCATACCCTCCAACTTGTCCTCAGTGTTCATCGTACATAAGAGTAGTTCTTGGGTCTGTAAAACAAAAAGGAAGTAGACAGATGATTGGACCACGGTGGCAAGCTAGAGCAAACACACATCGGATGTCGGTTTGTTTTGGTTTACTTGACGTTATGAGGAGGAGGCTGCATGATCTCACACTGGTGAAGCACAAGGATGACTTAAGTGAAAACAATATGCTTCCCTTTGGAGAAAGCAAAGCAACTAACTAGCTTGTGATGTCCACAGTTAGAATGGGACAGTTCATTGTTATTCCAATGTAGAAAAGTTAAACTGTATTTAAATCCTGGCTCCAACCCATGTTGGTACTGGACTAATGCAAGAAAATGTCGACAGCACAGGTTACAGCTTGGTTAGGATGAGTTGGAGTGTGAATATCTGCAGGTTTCACTCAACTATTGTGACTTCCTGCCTGACAAAACACAAGGCTGGTCATCCAACTTTATAATTATTTATATCGCAGGATCACTCTTAATGCGGTAATGTGTCAGCTTTTGTCACTGGGTCAGCTGTGGTTTCTGTGATCTCATCTTGAGGTTACAGAATGTACAATCCAGTGTAAATCGATAAGCAGCACCGTGGAACAGCTCATTAAACATTCATTGAAATAATTAATTAGTCTTAAAAGGTTTTAAGCAGGTAGGTTGCTGCGGTTAACATTTGTGTACTTTGAGGACTGGGTAGAAAATAGATATTGCGCACAAATGTCAATCGACGTTGACAAGCTGATATTTGCACAAGAGACAGCATTTCGGTATTTTGAAAAGCAGCATCGCATTTCACGGGTGCTGGCCTTACTTGCGGTTACACTTGAGCAATACCTAATTAGTTAACTGGGAATCACTTGATCTTAAAACGGGAACGCTAACGTTAGCTAGCACTTGTGGCCCACAAACGGGTTTGACAAAGTATCGCTAATATATGGGCCCTGTCACCTGAGACAATAAGGCAGCTAATTATATTCCACGGCTTTCACACCAACAACCACGAAGTCCCATTTGTAAACACACTCACTGTGTCACTTAGGTTAAGTCGCTTGCTAGCCAGCTAGCGTTACCTAGCCGCGCTTGTCAACGGCTACATCCAAGTTAAAGTAGTTGGTAAGTGCTGGAGGAACGGAGGAAGAGACGCTAATGTGCCTTCAAAATAAAAGCTCGGTCACCACTTAACTTGGAACGCACAGTGGAACCCTCATTGGAAGTATTTCCGTTGAAGGAGAGACACATTTGCAATCATTACGGAGATATTTTCTTTCCTTGAAACCAGAATTCAGTTATGCCAAATCAAATTCGTTGTTATGCCTGACTTGTATGATACAAACTTAAATTACTCAATGATTTATTCTGAAGGCATGGGCCGGAAGTTCCATTTTACTTAATTCAGCTTGACAAACGACCACGGCCTGTTTGCAGCTGGTTAGCAAGGCCCTAGCAACTTGCTTCAAACACTGGTCCGTCTGTGTTTTTGTTGTATACACTTGACACCGCATCTCCATAACATCACACGCGCCGAAATCACAAATACTTCCTAGCTGACACCGAACGACGTACATGGCACAAAACACAAACTTCCTTTGCACGTTTCACTGAACTTGTCAGCGGGGTTAATTACTTCGCTCCAGCGTTCTCTCGGCTCAATAGGCCTAAATGTTATTGACGGCAAGTCAAGCTAACTAGCTAGGCTACGAAGACAAACGACAACACAACGTCTCAATAGTGCGCCAGTGGTATGTCTACTATTAAAGCTGCATTGTTTCTTCTTACCTGCTGTGCGGCTTAAAGCCGTGTGGCTGTCATGATTGTTATGCAAGACTGGACAGTGCAACGATGGTGTGCGGAATAGTCAAACACACCATCACATTTCACGAGGGCATGTATTTTTATTTATTTATTTCGTTTATTATTCGCTCACATTTGTCGCCACCTAGTGGTTAACATTGGCTAGTGGAACAGAGCGCTGCTTTATTAATTGCTGCTATCATCTTCCCTTACGTTTTAGTTTGGCGACTTAAGTTAATCCTATCGGCTAAACATGATCTTTAATAACAATGTCTTCATGGTATTAGGTGGTTTTCCCTCAAAGAAAATGTGCATATTTGTAATTGAACACTCATTCCAAAAAACAGGTTAAAAAGAAAGCTTAAATTCTAACAGTGATCATGTAAATCCCCAAAGAGCCAATGAAGGTTCGCCATATAGTCCATAAAGCAAATGTCTAAACAAAAAACAAAAAAACTAAATTTCTGACAGCCTTTTCAAATGTGACCACGTCATATATAATATAATATATAATATATATATATATATATATAGATACACACATATATATATATATATATATATATGTGTATATATATATATATATATATATATATATATATATATATATACACACACACACATATATATATATATATATATATATATATATATATGAATATATCAACAGCTGCTTCAATGTCTTTACAACATTTCCAATCCATCGATCATTTTTATGGGATTAGTTCGTTTAAAAAGGTTGGTGCATTTAAGGCAACAATAATTAGCAATCTTATAAGAAATGTGTTATGCAAATTAGCAGTTCGAAACCAAACGCAACCGGGTTCAATGCAATAACCATCTTTCATCATCCTTCGTCTTTGACACCATAAGGGGATGCTGAGGGTCGTGATAAAATGATAGCCTGTCATGTCAAGCAATATCACACACGCGCACTCCGCTGTGAGGAATACTAATCAACCTGTTTGCCATCAAGTGCTGTTGCTCGACGCGCAACTTCTCCCTTCTTTGTCTAAAAAAATGTCTCTGCTGGTTTAGATCCAACAAACCTCCACCTGCTGACCCACTATCGGGGGTCTTTGACTGAATCGCAACAGTTGCCCCCCCCCGTCTGTCTCCCTCTGTCTCTTCTGAAGTGCGAGCTGCGGGGAGAGTGAATCCGGGGACGGACAGCCCACTCCCGCGCCGCTTCCAGCCAGGGAAGCCCCCCACCACGCGTTGCGCGCACCGGATCGCCGGCTACATATATTTCGCGTCGCACGAGTGCGCGTGTGCATGTGCGTCAGGTTCTAAATGTGTGCGTTCGCACCAGACAAAACCCGCTGCTCCGTCCTCAACAGTTGCCACCGGAGCGGCGGAGAGCACAGGTGGAGAGCGAGAGAGGCAGCCGACTGAGGACGGACGGACGGACGCGGAGCCCCACGCCGCTGCGCCCGGCTCCCCTCCTGACATGCAGTCGCTCATCTCTCCGGTGACCAAGGCCATCCTAGTGGCGCTCTTCATCTTCGCCATACTCCTCATCCTCTATGTGATCCTGTGGTACATTTGCAGAGACGTGGACTGCGACCACGGCATTTGAGGATTTCCAAAGCGGGAATAACGGGGATTTCACGATGGGGCGCTCAGAGCAGCCCGCGGAGCCCAGGGTCATCCCGTAAGTCTGCTGTCTTCCTTTTGTCCCGTTTTTCTTGATGTGCACGTGTTTCCCGATTATCTGGGGATGCCAATATGTGTGTCTCTGTGAGTGTATGTGTGTGTGTCTGCACACGTGCGCTTTCCTTGTCGTGCGTAATGTTAAACGCGCTCTGGTTTGCAGGCAGGTGATGACCGAAATGCGTCTCTACCGGCACCCGGTATCCCCAAAAACATGAATGAGCAGAGCGCCAAATTTCTTCAAACTTGCCAGCGATCATCGACCAATCGCCCCGCCGGCTCATGTCCCACAGCCGCGCCGCTGTAACTGTCAGTGGATTCCTCAAAGGTGATCCAATGTCATCAAGAGGATATCGAACCCGCTGTCAAAACACGAGACGGTGCTGGCGCGCGTGTTTGGGCTCTCAATTAAAATCTTGAAGATCTGCGGTGACATTGCGGTAAACAGCGCGTGTGTGTGTGTGTGTGCGCGCGCGCCTTAAGGTCAAGACCGCCGTGTTTACGTTGCCCAATATTCGGCTGTCTATATCTGCAGCGTTACTTCATGTTCAGTTCATGACAGTCTCCGAGGATGCTCCCACATTGGCGTTTTACATCCAAAGAGATAACGGGATTATCTCTATTGGCTCCATGCGCGTCTTATTCCTAATCGTGTTTGTGCCATGTTTTTGACTGCTTATCGTGAATGCGGCGTTAATGCTTTTACGCATGGCGCATTTATATTCCCCATGGCATCAGTGAGCCTGTTTAAGAAGGCTGTGTCCATTAGAAGATGCTCTTACATGTATAGGCTACTCGCTCACACGCGCACGCAGTGGCACCCACATCATTGGCCACGCTTAATGAAGGACTTCTCAATATTGCAGGCACGTTGGCCCCCAATGCCTACGCGCTGTCACGTGGTCCAGAGCTATTAAGCATGTGAGATATGATAAGGTGACATTTTTCATTTGGGTTTTTGTTTTGTTGCCAGCAATGCGGAATCAGGGAAATCAACCAATTCTAAAGTGGATGGTGTGAAGGACACACCAAGGACATGTTGGTTTTTCAAATTGTTTTTTTTAATGACATTAAAGCATGCAGGCAGATGTGCCAACACCTGGTTTTCTTCTTTGTTTGCACAAACAGATTTAACTCATGTTTTAGGTTCTACATTACATTTATATATTTATACAAGGATTTTTCCTTTTTATGGGAGGAAAGCGAAACTTGATCAAATGTTGCTGATTGATGAATGATATCCGGTGACCGTAGTGTTGAGCCACACGTTGATGGAACACCATGTCCTCGTTTTCTCCCATAAACGCCCTGAAGAATTAAAGAGCGAAACGTCTCCTGTCGCAGTCCAAAAAGAGAGAAGGTCAGCCTGCATTTTCAAACCTTCTTATTTTGAGCGAGGGCCTCCGTAGTATTTTAAAAAAATCCATAAGTAGCCCGAATGCACCCACATGGAAGGACCCCCTCCTCCCTCCCAAAGAGGACAGATTCTGGTGGGATGAAAGCCGCCTTCTTTGCCCGGAGTGAAAAATAATTGCTGTCAGCATGAGTAGATATACCCATGCACCCTGTATCACCCTTAAAACCCCCCCCCCCCCCCCCCACCACACACACACACACACCTGCACACACAGACTGTAAATGGCAGTCCAGACTGTACCAGCCCTAATGACATCGAAAGAAAGAGAGCAAAAAAGGTGTGTAGCAACTGTCTCAACCGTGTCTGTCAGTTTGAACAGGTGCCCTGCATTGTGTGTGTGTGTGTGTGTGTGTGTCTGTGTGTTTGTGTTAAGGTGGAAAGAAGGAAAAGAAGGGAAAAAGCTGTGTTTGAGCGACTGTGAATGTTTGTGTAGTTTGTTGAACAAGAATGGCGTGTGTGTGTGTGTGTGTGTGTGCGCGCCAGCGTGGGAGGGGGTTAAACGTTGACATGCTCCAGAATGACAGATGAAAAAAAGAAGTGGAGCAGGAAAGGCTCAGAGGGACTCAGCATGGGAGGACAGGTGCGTGTGGGTCTGTGTGGGTCAGTGTGCGTGTGTGCGTGCATGCATACACAAGAATGTCGGAAATTCACTCAAGTTTATCGGAAATGTTTTCCTTCCTTAAATACATGACCAAGCTGTAAGATTGCATCGTACTAACGGTGTGATGGCAGGCGCCGAAGTGCGCTGCGTAAACCTAAGAACAGTAATATAGGCCGGCACACCGAAATTACGTTGAACCCATTTTACCCAAATCTAATTGCTGTAAAATCATTGTTTTCCCCAATCGTCTTTTTATTCTTTCAGAATGCTTCAGTGTTAATACACCTCGACGGATCCAGATTTAACTGTGATTGTGATTTGTCATCATATTCTGTCCTCACGATGTCCGTAAACTGCATATGACACAGTTCATGTGAAGGAGTGTGTCTGTGTGCGTTTCCATCAGCCATTCATTATCACAAATAAATGATGGAGGTCAGATAAGCTGGAACCTTGATACATTCTACACTCGTGTGCAATACTGCCTTCACAAATATCTCACATCATCAAACTAAAAAACATCCAGATTTTCTAGTTTTAGTCTTTGTGATATTTCAATCTTAAATATCACAAAATGTGACCTTCAAGTATTCAACAGCTGCAAACACAATTCAGTGTTCATTCACTGCTTGGTCCAAAACAACCTTTCTTTAAAAAAAAAAAAAGAGTAAGTAAGAGTAAAGAGTAAAGAGTAGACTCAAAATGATACCATATTATTTATTTATTTATTAGCGAGTAGAGGTTTTGTTTTGAAAACCCTCCAATGATTACATTCATTCTCCTGGACTTAACTGCTCTGTTAAGTTAACGTATTATCTTGAAGTTATGTTTGTTCTTTTGTCTTTTACTGAACAGGATTCCTCAAAAACATCTAATTGTGTAATTAAAATTAGTTTAAAAACAAGTCAAGTGTTAATGTGCAGAAGACATCCAGGTCCAGATATGTTAATAACTCTTTCTAAACGTCCTTATAGAGAATTTCTACCTTTTCACATGAACTACTGCACTGGGCCACGTATCTCTTAGTGGTATCAGTGATTGTATTCTATTGCGTGTCCAGAAGAAGGTCCACATTTCTAAACATTTGCTCTCCTGAACACAACACGTTTCGATTATTCATTCACTCAGCAGTGCTCCTTACCTCAGTCCACATGAGTAATCATCTCAATTTAGCTTTAAATGTTTTTTTGGGATCTTCTCACCCTAATTTATTCACCACCACATCCCCGGGGCGCGCACTCACTCCCTGTTGTCTTTCTCCTTTCCTATCCGCACTCTATTGCAAAAAAAATTCCAGAATACGCTTAAACAAGCTCTTCATCCCAACTCTGAGTCATCAAACGGCGCCTTAAAGGATTGAAGCCTGGTCAAGAGGACCCACCATCGCACTGATGCCCTCATTGTGAAGGTCTAAAACTCAAATTGGCGCTCAAAAAGAGAGACGCAATGGAGCACACACACACACACACACACACACACACACACACACACACACACACACACACACACACCTCAAAGCCATACAAATAGATTGTGAGTGACTCAGCCGTTATGTAAAGTCCATCTCTGATAGGGCCGCCCGGGGCTGTTTATGTCAGTTGGGGTTGACGGCACTGGAGCCGAGGTGACGCGTGTCTGCTGTGTCCGACTTCCAATACACGCGCACGCTTCTTTGCCATTGGCGTGCAAACCCCCGCCCCCTCCCGCTCCTCCTTCCTCTCTCCTCCTCTGAGTCGACATTCCCCGGCGTGTGTCTCCCCCCTGATGGAGATGTGATACAGTCAGCGTATAGTGCACTCCCTCCAGCCCCAGACAGCGTTCATCATTAGCATTCAGCGCAGACTGGGAGGGAAACACCCCGTTGCCATCCCTCTGGCCCCCCCCCGGGGTAGACGCTTCGATCAATAGTGGTGAACATGCACCAAACAGGACTTGAGTCTATGTTACGCGGGACTTGATGCATCCAATCCTGGTCCTGTCTGCATCAACCGGCGATCATAAAACAGGCGCGATACAGACTGCCCCGGTTTCCTGTGGGTAAACTTGAATATTGAGAAATATCAATCAACTTTAATGCATGTATGTTAACCCCCCCCCCCCCCTGTTAACCTTGGCCTTTCCCTCCTCCCTTGAACGCATTCGTGTGGAATTATTGGGAAGTCTCTTGTTTGAAAAATGATGATTAAATATCTAAATTTAGACCAGAGGTGTTGTTTTTTTTGCCACTCTATAAATCACAGTGGTGCAGCACTCGTCTGTTGTGGATTAAAGCAGGCGATGGTGATATTGTTGAAGGCTTTGTGATAAATACTGTAATGATGTTATTGTCGTGCCCCAAATTGTCGGGGGCTGCATCACATTCCGACGGGCGCAATCTGATTTCATTTTCTTCTTTGACACAAAAACACTCGCGCTGTTGGGTTTAATAGGAAAGTAGGTGAAAGATTTTAAACCCACGACGCAAAAGACAGACACACACACACACAACAGGTTTCAGACAGGAGGAGGCCCACACGCTGACTCACACGCTGTTAAACACTGTGTGTCTAATGTTTGTGTGCGTGCTGCACGGAGTTAATGACAGACTTAATTGGTGCGAGCAAATAACAGGATTCTGCATCCACATGGTTCATTCAATCCCACAAGTGTTACTCAGGTGTCTCCAGGCGCATCTCCAGCCAGGTGTGTCTTCAGACCACCGCAGCTGCATGATGTGAATGAATCAAATGAACCCAATAACACGGCAGCCACTGATTCTGCAGTGTGTGTCCTGGTAGTCTGCATCGCTAACAGCGAAGCAGACTACCAGGCGATGATTAGATGCAGTGACATGTACGCAGCAGTGGGTGCCGGTGGTTGTGTTTGCTCTCTGCCCAAAACACGCTCACACTGTGGGCACAGGGTCGAGGCAAGGGGTCGGTCTGCAGGCGGTCAATGCCAGTATGAAACAGGCGTGCAGCCATAACTGGATATTGAGCAGTTTGCTGCAGCAGAATGAGCGATTCGTCCTTGACGGACACACAGGTGCACTCTCACTCACTCACTCCATCAGGCATGTAAACCCTAACCCATCGCATGGTCCACCTGCAGGAGAGATTTGCACTTCAAGGAATAGGGTAATATGAAGCTGAGATAACTTTATCGTAACCTTGTATCCCATTTGAAACATGCAAATCTGTTTCTCATTGATTTTTTTACAAGCAATTGGAACACAATTAGACTTATAACAGACTCTTGGTGGCTTAATCTTTATTCGATATTTTTATACCGGTCCCAAAAATAAAAGTGATTTAGTCTCAGACCCGGATGGCGAACCCGGATGCTGGTCTGTGCGCCCAGTGCAAACACATGCAGGAATCTCAGGTCTCACTTCATGTTGACAAGCTGGCCTTTGGCTTGTCTCCCCATGGAAAGCCTTCGGAGGCTCCAGCTGAAGCGACACGACAATTATCAAACATGTCCATGTACAGTCCACTGCCTTCTTCCGACCCTCGCATCCCCCAGTGGCGCGCGTCCACTCATCCACTCACGCCTTGTGAACGGCTTCTCCTGAGGTTCCTTCTATTTTTTTTTTCTCTTTCTGTAAGTGTTAATGTGTTTTTTTAAGTGCTTTTAACCTTGTCCACATACAGAGGTGGGGCTGGGTTTAAAACCCATGACGTTGTGGGTCTAAAAAATGCTCTGGAAATCCTCTTGACTTCCAGTAAATAGGAGGTAAAAGTACTTTAATTGCAAGGTTGGCTGACTGTCTCCATATGTTAAAGTATCCTCGAGCGAGAGACTGAGGCCCACGTTGTTTTATACCAGTACTCCTAATGCTTGCGGGCAAAATACAGCGTGTGCTGTATGCATTTATGGACTTTGGAGCCCAAATTGGACGTGACAAACCCGGAAAATCCCCTTTCTTCACTATACGACACTTACCTGCCATCTCCTCAGGGTAGCAGTTGATTTGTAACAGAAAACAAACATGGGGCAGTATTAAGGAACAGCGTGACCTGTTTGTGTTAGTGGCCTTTTCTTCTAACAATATCCAACTTTCTCTGACTCCTATTCTCACCAGGTACACATTCATGTAAAACATGACATAAAGAATAGATCATAACCGGCTCCCGAGATCCCACAGAGCCGTTGTCAGCCTGGATCTCCAAAATAAGACACGTTGTTCGTTGCAGCCAGTCCGTGGCTTGTCATGTAGCGACTGTTGGTTGAAGCTGCTTTGATGCCGTTCGCATGGTATTTACATCACACATCCTCCTGCCACGTCCCGTTCGCAGCACGAATCACGTGCGTGTACGCACGTCTTCATTCGCGCGTGTCTATCTGTGTGAAGAACCGTCTCCCTGACGTCGCATCATTCCAAATAGTCATCTGATCATCATGCGTGAGATGCAATTTCCTTTGAACAATAGCTGACCCCCCCCTAACCTCTCATTCTGCGGCATTACAAACGCACACATGTACACGCAGACGCGCAGTTCCACCCAGCTGGCATGAACGGCAACGCATGCACAATTCAAGTACACAAACAGACACACAGCTTCCGTTGGGGCGGTGACGGCGAGTCAGTCTCTTTATGTTGCTGCTCATTTAACTGCCCTCTGAGAGGACTTTAATGACTGGGGCCGAATGCTTGTCGGTCCGGCTGTTTCAGCTTGACCTGAACTGCTGGATAGATGGCGATACAAAAACCAATACTAAGGAATTTCCTGGCAAGAGAAAGGAGGGATGACACTGTGAATGCTGACGACCTGTCTTTAGAGGAAATTAGTGTAATTTAGTTGAAAAGGAAGACGTGCAGAGTTTGGTTAGCGCACTTCGAGTGCCAGTAAAAGTTCAGCTGATTCCTGCCCTGTCAGCCAAACCCAATTCATCACAGCAGGAGGCTGTCTGCTCACATTTGTGTCATATAAACTACAGCACAGCTCTTACATTATGCTTCTCTTCAGATCCCTTACTGAAGCACAAATACAATGTAAAAGCCTATATTTCAAACGAGTATTATAATTTAAAGTACTTGCATTGTTGTTCTACTTGACATTGAATCAGGAACCGTTTTATGTTGAAATACACACTTACAGATGCTACCATCTCACTTTATTTTACCCTTCGGTGGGGATTTCTTTTATTTTCTTTTATTTGTATTCTATATATTCTGTGAACCTTTTAGACAGCCACACTTGGAATGGTTAGCTACTCGTTAGAAGACCCCTGATGTGGCTTCAGTGATTAGCCTTAATATATTTCCCCACCCGCACGGCTCTTACCTTCTGAATTGGCTTAATGATGGTCATTAACATTTTAACATTGGGCTGTGGGAAGGTGACTCAATGCAGCAGGTGTCCTTTTGTGGTATTTCCAAGGGACCGAAATAAACACGTATTAACATTTAAAAGGTTAAATGAAAACTTTTCTCTTTTAATCAATATCTGGTTCTTTCACAGTTGTCAATTACACACACTGGGACATTCATGAAAGTACCCTCGGCTGAGCTTTTGTAGCAGTGTACACCTCCACAAAAAGGATGACCGGATTTGAAAACAATCATTAATACCATAAGGATGCTCTTGTGAGTTGCTTTATTTTACACTTTTTTTTAAACTTCATGACATAATTCAACATTTTACTTTTATAAACACGTTACTATTATGGCAAAATGTGACAAACACTGAAACAGCAGAGAATATCTGCATCCGGAGGCTATGGGGAAGGGGACAAACTAAATCATTAAGTTATTGCAAATATCATCCTGACCTTTGATCATGTAAGCTCAGTGAAAGGTCCAACGTGTTTTAATACACCGGGCGTATTCGGGTGAGGTCATATTGTGTGTCAGTTATCCCTGGAAACCTTGATACCTTTTTCCTACAGCTGAAGATTTGTGACACATCTTTATTTTGCATTACATTTACTTATGGGATGGACTCAAGTCATCCAATGAGAGAAAAAACAACAACATCCAACAGTCATCCAAAGTGCAGCCGGAGAGCTGCAGACATGAGCTGCACTGCTCCACAAGCAAAATCACATCCTGGCAATTTATGGATGAAACTAGCGTGTCATGCCCGTGTTGCTTCTCCAGAGTGACCTCTCGGGCAGAAGTTAATGAGAAAGTCAGTTTTGCTGAAGGGAGCAATATGCTAGATGGATCCAGAAGAGGGTCATTCGGCACGTCAGGCAGCCGAGCAGCAGTGACGGATCCCCGGCCTCCATCACACAATCACCGCTCGTCTACAAGTGACGGATAGCGGGGAAGTGTCCGTATTCTCAAGGTCAACTAGTCAGTGAGCGTCAGGAACAATAAGTAAATATGAGTACGCTATCTTGTGTGTGTGTGTGTGTGTGTGTGTGTATGTGAAAACGTCAATACAGACTAACTCTTTTCTCTGTTGCACACGTGCGTTGAAAGCTTTGACAAGGAGAGAAGCGAAGGATTCGACGGCTTCTTATTGGAACGTATCCCCCTAACGGAACTGCACTTCTCCCCTCTGCGCCGCTCTGCTCTGCTCACTCCGCGACGGATCGAGACAGAGATGTTATCTGCAGTTCGGTCATGTCTTCTACCAATTATCCGACTTTATCTGCTCGGCATCAAGGTTCTGTTGGTTCAGCTGCTCAGCGGACCCTTCAGGTTGCCAGGTTTGTTCAACGCAACGATGCGTTGTCACGGTGCACTTTGGCCGACTAAGTTTAGTTGTGTTACATTCCGTGGCGGGGCAACGTTATGGTCTTGATATCCATGAATGTCGCCGAATCTTGGTTGTTAGCCATGTTACAACAACCCAAAGACGTTCGGCCACGTTTATATTGGTAAGCTACGAGGAGTTTCCTTCTCCGAGTGTCGGCTGTCACTCGGGTTACAGTAACGCCGAGGAAGCGTTTATGCTAACGTTAGCTAAGTTAACGTTAGCTAAAGCACTTGTTAAGTAAAAACGGGTGAAATAAAGGATGGTTTTGTGTGTTGTCCGTGCCGAATCATCCGCAAAAGCATAACTTATTTTACTCTTAGCACGGTTATCTGCTTGAAAAGCAGTTCAGTTCGTGGACAATTTTATTGGATTTAAATCTCCAGGTTTTATAATGCAGTTTGGAATACGGATAACGTCACAGAATGTATGTCAGCTACAGGTCAATGAACACACATGAAACACAGTATATTTCTCAAAGAAAAGTGACGTGCAGCAACAGAATTGTGTCCCAGTTGTGCATTGAACATATACCGTTCCGTGACTTTTTGGAATATGTCGATATTTTAAGTGTAATTCGATGTGATTAAGTAAACGTCAGCAGTCAGGCGTACATTCAAATTCGCTGAGTCTTAAATTGGCAGGTATTACATAATAAACTAAAATGCGCTGCATGTCCACCATCATATCCATGTAATAGAACAAATTAGACAAAATCACCGTTATGAAGCCAAAGAAGAAGATTGAATCGGGCTCAGGAAAACAGTGCGAGGGAATTGTGTAGTCACTTTTTATCCAGGCCATATACGCCAATGTTTTTGAGGAAACTATTGTAAGGTGAAACTGTAAGATACATTATCTAAGAAGGTAAAGGAAGTTTTTTTTTTTTTGTCTCCATTGTTTATGAAAGTGAAGGAAAGTGATTAATCAGTCGCATAGGAACAACCCCAGATAAAATCCATCTGAGTTAATCGGACCATCTACAGGTCTCACTACAAGGACTTCTCGTGTCTTTTAAACTAGCGGAAAGTCTTGAAACCGCTGCCTTATCAAATGACATCCTCCCTGATATCTGCGTGTCCTCTTCTGCCTCTGCCAGTGATGCCCAGACAAGATGGCAAGGTTGCCATAGTGACAGGAGGAAGTAGGGGAATCGGCTATGAGGCAGTCCGCCACATGGCAAAGCTGGGGGCGCATGTTGTCATCGGTACGGTACCAAACACTCCACAACTCACACGCTAACCGGAACAAGGGCAATGCAACCGTGTAATAGGACAAACTAACATGTGATGGACACAGTACAGCCTCAAACACATAATAATAATCTTGCATAAAAAATTAAATGATCACCATAGAGAGCAAGAATTTGGCCTGGTCTCGTCACAGAGACTGACGCCCCAATCAATTTCTGAACTGCCTAAGATTAGTTTTGCCTTTTGGCTGAGTACAGGACAGTGCACTGATGATAATGTAGTTTACAAAGAAAAATATATATTTTTTGCTGTGAGACAATTTCAGTAAACTTATTTTTACTTGAAGAGAACAATGAGAAATTCTTAATGCATGACTTTAAAAAAAATAAAAGAACCGCTGTGCGTTTTACTGTTTGTTATATTTGAGTATCAGGCCAAATGAGTTTGGAGAAAATGCTGAATAGAGTAGGGTCCATGTTGTTTGGGTTTCTGAGCTTCTCGGTTACAGATGCATTTTCTTATAATCAAGTGGCATCACATTAAAGGCAAAAAAAGCCTGTCGCTATCAGAGATGCTTCATTAGTACGAGACGGTCAACCGCGCATTCAGATGCCCCTTGAGAACGCGTTGATCCGTCTTAAGGTTTGGAATAGCATCAAAACTGTTTGTTTTTATCTTTAGAAAATATGTCCAACTGTGAGATGATATAAAGGCCTTTTGAACTATGCTGGGATTAAAAGGCATCAAACTGAATGTTAAATGCATATTTAGGATTATGAAAGCCTTTTTTTGTTGCATAAAACAAAGACTGTTCCATAAATGATTTAATAACTGCAGATAAATTCAATGCAACCAAGAATTATGAGTGGAGCTTCTAAGCAAAATTCCATAATTGTACTATGCAGTTAGAAATCAAGAAAGGGGAGTTAATTTTATATTCATAGAGAAATAATCAAAGCGAGGACATTAATGACCCTTTTATTTGTGTAAATTGTTGTAAGCATTCTAACATCACTATGTCTGAATGTACAGCAGCAACCACCAAACATTTGATTCAAACCAACACCATGTGCGCGTACTTTGTGTATATTCAGCGGAATGCCACGATGTCTACATCATTTCCTTCCTTCCTTGAAGTGCCAATGAGTACCTACTTATCACTGCGACGTCGTACTACGCCTTCGCTCACTCGTCTCGTATGCCCCGAGCCACTTGCTAAAATATGTTCATCACTACACCTCCGATGTCTGCCGTGACCTTCTCCTCAATGGTATGCAGGCCCCCTCCTGTGATAAACGGTTCAGCGCCTTCACACACTTCAGCATTTCGCTGAGCCCTCCGGATGGAAAGCTACACGGAGGGATTCGCTGGGACGATTCTTTAGATGCGTCACTTTTTAACCGAGAAATCGCTTTTCTCTCAAACCAATTTTTTAGTCATATCTGTTCTTGCTGCGAGACTTCTCTTTCACATTCAGTGGTGATGTCATTGCCACCGAGCTGAGGCAATGAGGTTTCCCTGGAGCAGTAACTGATACGTGCTGAGTGTACAAGAATTAGTTGGAGCGCTCTGTTTAGGTTCACAGGTTATCAGTGGGGATTTGTCAAGCAAATGCAGGAAATATATTCATGTCTTAATGAGAGTCCCGGACTACTTGGCTGAAACATGCCTTCTCTGGTTTGCACGTAAGCGAACATGCAATGCGACTGTCAGCATGGCTGTTCCTTTTTTACTTCCACATACAACTTGTTTAACATTGGACACACAGGTTGTCACAACACGCTTAGCTTCCGGCGATGTGCGCCTCCGATCCCCTGCAGCCGACGCTTACACACAACCTTTCTCTGTCATGGTTCACTGAGACATTTGTGGGTATCTCAGCCGCAGCACGATTCCTGTTCTATCTGAAGAATTCATCTTTTCCACGGCAGAACTATGACCGCAGTTTGGAAATAAAGCGAGCAATGCATACACAATGTTTCCTTTAACGCCGCTTATGGACCGCTGCTTTTCTTAGACGTTTCAATGCAAGATTACATGATTACGGCAAGTGATTGGTCAAACAGCACTTGACATACGACCAATCTGTCACAGCGACGGGCCTAATTATGATCCGCCCCACGGCATCTGAAGCGCTTTATATCTATTTGTGGTAGCGCCGCGGTGAGAGAAGGAAACGTCTTGTGGTCACGCCACAACCTTTGACATCAGGACCGCAGAAAGTCTATATATCTTCCACCAAAAACGAAAAACACAACTCCCCCGATCACAACTTTCAACAGGTAGCACTTTAGTAAAACTTAAAATGGCACTTACTCATAGCACTTTGTTTTAGAATTTGTACTTTCTTGCTGGTCTGTGTGTGTGTACCCTCATGGGTGAATGCACTTCTTATAAGTGGCTTTGGACAAAAGCATCAGCTAAATTAAATGTAACGTAGTGACCTATTCAAAGATTTGTCATGGCATGGAAAAAAAAAAAACCTTTGGCCAAAAAGTATTATTTTCCTTAAAGCGCTCACGCACAGCAGGGTCTGACTACCTCTGTCTCCATGCTCTCGTCTTGCAGGGCGAGACTGTGCTCTCCAGTCCGTTCACGTCTCAAGCTTCAAAACTTTGAAGAAAACGCTGCTTTTTTTTCTCTCAGTGTGTTGCCGCATAGTCAATGTCAGAGTACCCTTGGATGCGGTTTTAAGCGGGAACATAAATGAGACTCGAGCCCTACGTGTGATTAACACACAGAAGCCAGAACGGGAAGTGAGGGGCTCGTTGTTAAACCCCGTCTGTATTAAATGTGATCCCACGGGGCTGCGAGGGCATTCCCGTTTCAAATATCCACACGTCTCGACATCATTCATGAAGTGAGAATATTTATGGTAAAGTGGAGTCCTCTCTTGCAATGGAGTGGGTACATATTTCAGGTGGAGTGCTTGCATAGTACTCGTGTGGGGAGAGAGGTATAGTTAGGAGCCTCAGCGCTGTCTAATCCCATGGATAAAATTCAGGATGCTATTGTGCTTGAAGTGTTTTTGAGGAGGCTTTGAATTAATGATACGATAACGTAATTGGGAAAATTTCGTAGTTGCAGCTGCACGCTATGAACACAATGAAGTGAATAGACTGACTGGAAACATGAATTACTGCGTTTGCAGCACCTGTAAATCCTTTAAAGAAAAGGAATGAAAATAAATAGTAGCAGCCAAATGTGCAACTTCAATGCCTTTCTTCTTGATTCATTTAATGAAGTAATTGCTTTTTATGTTTTTGACAAACATGGACACCGTTTTTTGTCAACTCACGATAAGACGATCACGATCAGACTTCATTGATGTACAGAGAGGAAACAATTCAAAACAAGTCTTGTGATTCAGTTCTACTTCATGCCAATACAAACTACCAGTCAAGGAACAAGTCAAATATCTTAGGGACATCGATATCAACAGAATTCTGGTCTCCTCCTGTCTCCTAATCAGTGCCAACGTCCCGCATTGCATTTAGTCAGGAACGAAGGCCACCGGCAAAGCTTATCATTACAAAGTGCCATTAAAATAGGTTTATATAACACATTGTGAAATGTACGCTTGAAGAAGGACCAGTAAGGAAATCAGCTTTGTGATTTGGAAATGTACATTATTCTATGGGCTAAAGTAAAAGAAATGGCCTGCGGAGGCCAAGTGTGTCACATGGACTTAGTTCATGTTGCCTAATACCGTCTTGCATGTGAGAGTGTCTGTTTGGACCATTTTATCCACTTAAGCAAGTTTATGTTGATACGGTCACAATTTTTAACCACTTGCCCAAACAAATGAGTTTACGTGTGTCCTGTTTGCGTGACCCCGGAGGCGCCGCGGTTAGAAAAGATTAGTGCGTTTGTTTGTGTGTGTGTGTGCAGGGAGAAAATTAGAGTGCGCCTGTAGGATTTTTGTGTGTGTGTGTGTGCATGTGTGCGTGTGTTCAGTGTGTACGGTGTGGGTGCAGTATGCAACCAGTCCGCACACCTGAGAACCAGCGAGTGTTTGACTAATGTTTTTATCGAGTATGTCTTTCAATAAACGTATTGCTTAACTGACTGACCTAATTGTCCGCACTAAATTGTAGAATGTCATATTATACGGTTTGTGTGTGTGTGTCTATTTCACCAGGCCGTCTGAGCTTGTTAAAGATATTATACATAATGTAATGTACATTGTGTCAATTACTTTTATTAACACAGTTCTATAAGGTTAATGTATGTTATGTTTTTTTTATTTCAGTTTTGCACAAGTGTTATGGCTGCCTTTGACGTTTTCTTCTCTCCTCTTCCAGCTCTCCATGCTTGTTAGGACAAAAAGAGACAACAGCTACTGTGAACGTGCTATTCTTTCTCTGGGATTGAGTCAAAGTGTCATTTACCGCGAGGCGTACTTTTTATTTCATGTGTTATACATATTTGATGGTATAATTAATTGTATTTTCTAAGACACTGTTTGACTCTTTGAAATCAGACTTTTCCCTCGAGGGCTAAATGGAAGAAGTATTTTCATTTAAAGAAGCCTTCTCAGGAACCCGTTTTTCACGAGATGAAAGAAAATGGGCCAGAAAAAAAGAAAGCAAAGCAGTGTTATTTCATCAAAACGCCTCCGAGGACTTGTCAGACACTGTATTCATCCGTGTGTCTTCTTCTCTTTCAGGTGGGAGGGATGAGCGGGAGGGTCTGCTGGCCGTCAGAAGGATCTGTGAAGAGAACAAAGAAGCCAAAGGTAACATTGCAAACACTTCTAAGGGCACATGTACACACACACACACACACACACACAAATGCTTGAGGGTGTGTGTGTGTTTGTTTTAGTGGGCCACTGTTTGAAGATAAAGGGCAAAGCAGTGTGTCCCTCAGGCTGGTTTCTACAGTTTTTACTAGACAAACACACACACACACACACACACACACACACATAACTGCACACTTGCAGCTACACACCCATACAGACACGCACAGAGCTTCCACGCCGGCTGGTCCAATGTCAGGAGTGTTGTTGACGAGCAACGAGGAAGAGGAAGATACGGGGTAAGAGCCGATAGGCAGTCGGCGAGGGGAGAGGGGGGAGACAGCGGGGGGAGGGACGGCGTGATGAATGGCCAAACACAGGAAACTAAAAGGAAGACGAGGTGGAGGGGAAATCCAGGTGCAGAGGAGACAAACAAAAGATTTATTACACCACTGAGCGACGCTTACGGCGTTCTCTGTAACTCGCATGTTGATTGGGCTGACCTTCACGGCCTTATGGCGAAGGAGACTCACGAGCACCAAACGGATTTCCCTCTGTTTCCCCCAGCACGGCCCGTCAGAAGGTGTTTAAAGAGTTGCGTAAATTACTTATTATTACCTCCATTTTTTTCAACCCCTTGGGACTGTGTGACCAGAACACCAGTTTTTGCCGATATTTTGTCTCGCCCCGGCCTCCCGGTGCGAAGCAGCGGAGAGTCGGCTGCCTGCGAGGAGCCGTCTGTCAGGTGCAGAGACAACGAGTGTCATTGAAGTCGATTTCCCTCGACGGGGCTACGGTGGAATTGATTACTTCTTTTGTAATTGGCGAGCATGGAGGCATAAGGGACAAAAAGGGGGTGTCTGTAGCCAGATGCTTGTGCACTGAATGAGAACGCATGAGTGTGTGTGTATCTGGATTAGACTCTAATGGATTCTCATTAGTATGAGAAGCAAGAGCTTTAAACGTCTCTGTCCAAACACCCTTTGGCATCCCTCCTAGTGTTTGCACATTTGTCTGTTATGAGAAAAGGGAGACGGCTCATAACAGACATCGGGTTGCTCCTAAACTGGGAGACAAATAATTTAATTTCTCTAGAAGCTTTTTGATATATTTTGTCCAATTTGTTTGTTGGAGTCACATAATAATCTCAACTTTTCGGCGAAAGGGGTCGGAGTCGCACCCGCCCGCCCGTTACCATGCCGATGGATGTGGCAGTGCCAGCTAGTGAGCGAGCGGTTGGGCTTCGCGAGGGCTTCAAAGTTGGTGAGATTCATATTTAATGTCGTGACTCATGGTGAGTGACAGCGAGGGGGCGAGTGAGCGCATTATCTGTTAGTCACGTACAATCTGTCGCGCACGCGGCCTTCCTCCGTAGGCGCCCCCAGGCGACAACCCTGCGGGGCGCAGTGTCCCCACCAGGGGGAGCGTGGGGAGCGTGGGGGAGGGTGGTGGGGGTAACAACTTCAAAAAGAAGTCTGCCTGTAGTCTACTTTGCACTAACCCTTTATTAAATAATTGAATATACTAAACAGACAACGTGTAACGTGACCTCCATCACATTGTCTCTACTTTGTATTCCAAGCTCAGACAGGCATTCCCTAAATACCACCAAAGTGAATTACCGCTCTGTTCATCTTACTCTCGGTAAGAAAGCCAATAAACATATTATCAACATCATTTGTTTTCTTTTTTTGTATTAAACTCATGTTTAAGCCTAACCCTAAACATACGATACTAACACGAATATGTGTTCAAGCTAAACGAGACTTCATTTAATCATGTTTTGGTTCAACCTTGTGGAAGAAACCAGTTCCTACAAAGTAGGATTATTACAGCAAGTTGGGTTGTTGTTTGTAGTTAAGTACATCTCTTTCGTTTATGTAAAGCGGTTTTGTCCGCATCTTGCGGTGTATTGCCTTGTGTAACAAAGGTACTGTCCCCAGAAAACCTGGAGTTCAATCCTGTGGAAACACGCTAATGCCTTTAGACTGCAAGTGGGCTTCAGTCAATGAGGCTTAAAGGGTTTTACTTTAGATTATAAACACACACAAGAACACATAACACGTAACACACAGGGTATTTTTGTTTTGTTTTTCGCCGAAGGCAGCGCTGTCTGTCCACTAACTTTAGTCACGGTGCACTTGAAAGTAACACTTTGTGCCTCAAACCATGGACCTAGATTACAGTGTGAAGCAAGGCAACCTGTGTGTGTGTGTGTGTGTTTGTCTGCTTAAACACACGTTATTTTCTCTCGCTTAGGTAAGCCAGCTGCTCCCTCCCTACAAAAAGTATTATCATTCCACCGCAGCTCTCTCACTCCAATTAACATCACTTTTGTCGCCTTTGTTTAGTGGACGCATAAAAGTGATTAGACCAGCCGTCGCTGAGCTGGTCTATAAAAGACTGACCTTGTTGCTGTGGACACGACGACTCTGACCTATTTGGGAAAATCGGAGTGATTATGTGTGTTTGTGGACAAGATTATGAAGGTGTTCAGTCGTAGTGTGCTGCATTATTTGTGATTATATGAGTGGAGCAACATGGACACGCTACATTTTCTTGAATATCACTGTGTTATTTTTATCTAGAAAACACGCGTGAAGATGATCAGGCTCGTATAACCGCATTGTGATCTTTTCATTTTCAGGCTAAATTATCAATGCATGAATTCCTTATTATCTTCATAAAAAACAATGGACATGTTTATTTGAATTAGTGTTTTCTGTGAAGCCATTCTAACTTGCTCCCTCCTCTGCAGTTGTCGGCACCTTTTTCGCCGGCTGTGAAACGTGGAGGCGATTCTCAGTTGGAACGAGCTTTTTTTTTCTTTCCCAGATCGTCTCTTGTTGACTGCAGTGGCTCTGATTGTGCGCTGATGTGGCAGGGAGCATTTCTAATCATGTGTGGTGGTCAAGATTACACGGCGCACTTGCGTAACACCCGAGCGTCTGCTTCTCCGTCCGCGAGAGAGCGGCAGGATGAGACGGAGCCGTACGGAGGAAACGGGAAGGGAAAAGAGGGTCGCAGTTAGAAATTGTCCATGAAACCATCATTTGACCTTTGCCCCCCGCCCCTTCAAGCCTTCACAGGTCATAAATGTGACATGGTGCATTCAAGTGTGTTTGTTTGGTAATTTCGAAAAGCACGCTGGGGGAAGAAGTCCGTTTTGTTGCGGGGAACAAGGAAGTTGTTTGGTCCTTTTCCACTGCGGACATTTTCACTTTTCACAAAAAGAAAAGTGCAGGTGTGTTTAAATGAACAAATACGGTGAACCGGCACGAACGACACCAAAACCCTGTAACTGAAGCAGCTAAATCAAATTCAATAATACGGTTCACGGTGAAAAACCACACGCCAGTTATATCACATGTTTAAAAGCGTCACAGTGGTGTGGGATCCGTGGACAGACCAATACCCTTCCACTTACTCTTCCCTTTCCATACGGCTCTGACGTAATCCCCCCCCCAAACTAGGGCGGCGCCGCGGGCCCCGCTCAGACGTCGTTCTGTAGCATAATATCACTGCTTCAGGAGCGTCGGGGGTCAGGCGGCGGCGGTTTCGCACTCCACACCTCCCGTGGCTCAGCTTCACAAACGTGTCAGAGAACTACGGGGGGAGCCTTTACGCGACGTGATGATGTGACATGTTTGGTTTGTCCATTCTGGGCTCCCGTGGAGACATGGCGGTGCATAACGGAGGACGCGCTCCCTGTGCAGATACTGCAGATACCGTTCCAAGCAGAGGAAAGCAGAAGAGCTCTGTTTGTGATCCCGGCCCCGTACTGCGCTCATTCATTGTCACACCTCAATCCCTTTAAGACCTTTCTGTGGCGACGTGTGGGGCTGACTTCTGGTAGTTGGGAACGAAAGGACAAAAATGATCATAGAAACAATAAAAATAGATATGACATCATTATTATTATTATTACAGGTCATTTCGCCGACACTTTTATCCAAAGCGACTTACATTACATTTTCAACCCATGGCTTTTACATTTTGCCCGGGGAGCAATTAGGGGTTAGGTGTCTTGCTCAGGGACACTTCGACACGGGACATGGGGAAGCCTGGACTCGAACCATCAACCTTTTGGTTCGCAGCGCACCCTCTCCCCTACGCCACAACGACCCCTTAGCACTATAAATCTAGCAAAGCCAGAGCCGAGTGTTTTTTTTCTTCTCCTTCTCCTGCGTTGCAAAAGGGGAGGAGCCACGCGGGTCAACGCTAACCAGTGATTAACCGGTGATTAAATGTAATACCAGTGCATTTTTTTTGTTAATAACTTTTGCATGTCATTATACTGAAGATTATTGTAGTGTAGCTAAACAAAATGCTAAAATAAGATTTGAAATGGTGCCAAACCCTCTGGGTATTATGAAATCCGGTCCAGAAGAAACTGACGTTTTACAAATGTAAAATGTTTTAAAACAGAATTCGATTAACACAATGTAGTGCAAACTCAAATGTGTAATGTTTATTTTATTAACATATTATTTAAGGTTGTTGGCATGTAGACAAATTATCAACTGGCATGCCATAGAACTATAAAAATAAGTTAATAAGATTACATTTGCTCAAAGTTCATTTAAAATAATGGACCAGCCGTTTTCATTTGCAGTTCACAGTTCAAATGCAAGTTCAAATGCAGCTGGAACGATAAGTAAATCAGACACGGAGGCTGAAATGATCTGTCTCCCGTTGTTGCTTTCAAATAGCCCCCCTGTATTAAAAGAAACCCCCAGGCCGTGTGTTTGAGTCCAGGAAGCTTTCTAGTGGATCCTGGGGGCCGTAATTGAGAGCCGGCAGTCAGCCGGCCAGGGCCAAGTCCATGGCACATCACCCCCCCGATGGGCCTTTCCTTACATCACTCGGCTCTCTGAAGAGGGAGTCCGCTGGGGAGGAGAGGAGACGGGCAGGACACACACACACACACACACACACACACACTAGCTTGCTGGTAAACCATACAATCCTAATACACAAAGAGACACATTGAGAAATGGTGGTTAAGGTCATTCAAATGCACACACTTGTTTTCTTTGCTTCTGTCATCTCTTTTTGTCTCTCTCTGTGATGACTGGCACAGCTGCTAGATAAGGCTGCTATCAGACCTTCATCAGACCTTCATCAGGAATGGCTGCATTCTCATCCGTCAGTGGATTTTTTCTCTATCGGCTCCATCAGCTCACCTTCCTCGGTCCTCTTCCTGTCTTTGTCCATTTATATTTGACCCTCTGCAGGCCTACTGGATAAATAGGGAGGCGCAATATGTCATTTTCCCGATGTTTGAAAGGCCCGGCCTCCTCATTCGCCTCACGTTTTAGCACTTTGGCGACACAGGAGTCAGCAAATACCAAAAAGAGTAATTCAGAGCACAACGGGAAACAAGCATATTTACATTGTAATTTCCCGAATGTGACTACTATCAAACACAGCAGTCCAAACATGAATAAAGGCTTTCAGCACCTCAAAGCCCACTTGCCAGTATGGATGTAGATATCCTCACTTCACATTCTCATCAATGATCCAAGACTCACTTATGTACTCGCGGTATTACCCCCATCTCCCCTCTCCATCAAAATGTGGAGTGGAAAACAATGTCACCATTTAATATTTTAATAACTCTTTGAGTGATTTGCCCACCAGCCAAATGAAACATCTCGACCTCTTGCAGTTGCAAACATTGCGCACATTAATTCTCCAGCTAAAAAAGGAAACATCTTTCAGAAAGCATTTCTCATGCTCTTATGTGTTTGTTCTTCCGCTGCATTTATATTGCTTTTGGATTTTACATGTGAATTGTCTCACCAATTCAGAAGGACATTCAGTATTTCCCACTTTCAGAAATCATCGTGTGTAGAAGAGGACGAGGAGTGGCAATTTCAAGCCCGCCCTGATGAAAAGAGATTTCAATTTGCTTTTGAAGATTAGGGGGGACTCTGCAGTCCTGTGGACGGTGAAGGTCATTCCACCAAAATGTACTTTGATCTATTTCAACAGTAAGAGAAAGAGAGAGGTACGGTTTAAAGAATGAGAAAATGGAAAGAGCAAACGCTAAAACGGAAGTTTTAGAATTGAACCGGTGAGACTCAAATCTGTGTATGAATGTGATGTCTGCATGAGGACATGATGCTGGAGTGGAGAAACTGTGCCAACTCTCTGAGGGGGGGGGGCAGACATGAGGGCCAGACACCAGACTAAGATACAGTAATCCCATATCATCAGGTGTCATTTCATTGCTGACTTGTTCTTTTGAGGTATTACAATTACAAGAGCTGCTTCAGTGTGTGTGTGTGTGTGTGTGTGTACACCTGTGTCTTAACAAACATTAGACCGGATGTAGCCGTGTTTTAAGCTTCAATGGGGCTCACAAAGAAGTATTAGGTTTGAAATAATGTGCCTGAGTAACGGAAGCGCAGCGCTGCCAGCGTCATAGTTCATAAGAACCCACTGAGTCTACTGTAAGAGATGATTAATACACTCTTTGATGTCTTACAGCCGAAACGGCTAGCGGAAATAATCCATTTACAATGGCTCTGACGTTGTATCCGTGTGTGTGTGTGTGTGTGTGTGTGTGTGTGTCCATCCTATCCAGTGGAGTTCTCCAAACTGGACCTTGCCTCTTTGCAGTCTATTCGTCAGTTTGTCCAGAGATTCAAGGAGCAGAATCTGCCACTGAACATTCTCATTAACAATGGTGAGTGATGAAGATGTCGGCATCGTTACAGAAATCATCCATGAGATTTATTTAGATGCGACCGCTTGACTGAATTTAAAAGGATTTAAAGCACTAAACCCACACATTTACATTCTACATATTCCAAGCGGGACACAACCTCCGATTGCTTTTGAATGTCTATAAAACTGCTTTATTTAACAGTATTAATGATATAAAAAGAGAAATTCTTTGGTCAAATTCTGTCTAAGTGAGAGCGATGTGAATCTGAGCACGCCGTGTTCATGCCACAGGTGTTCTCTCATTCAGTCAGCCAGTGATGAGCCAGCAAAGAAAGATCACTGGTGTGATCACACATAATGAGCTCTGCAGGCCCATTAGAGACCCCCATATCATATTATCAGTATAGTGCAAAACCAGTTCATGTCTGTTTGAACAGCCTCTTTCTACATTACCTGGTATATTTTGTGTGTGTGTGTGTATGTGTATATGCATGAGGCAAACCACACACTTCGCCGTGTTCCTGACGGCATGAGGCATAATGTTTGGAATGCATTCAATACTAAACACACTAAAAAAACACTAAAAATGTATTTTTGTGTGATTTAAATGTTTGTACCTGTGTGTGTGTGTGTTTGTGTGTCCAGCTGGTGTCATGCTGGTTCCTGAGGGCCGTACTGAAGATGGATTTGAGCAGCACATCGGCGTGAACTACCTAGGCCACTTCCTGTTGACCTGGCTGCTCCTGGACACACTGAAGGATTCTGGGAAATGCGGTTACTTCTCTCGTGTTGTCAGCGTCTCCTCCTCAGCCCACCGCGTTGGCAAGATTGGACTAAATGATTTAAATAGCTGGTAGGCCTAAACGCGCACACACAAACGTTATATAAAGCCATATGAAAGGATACACAAGCTGGCCATTAAAAAAAAGAGTATTTAATGAACATTCAATCTGTAGCTAATCTGTTCCTAAAGGATCATTCTAAATTACCTGAGCTGGGATCTTTTTTCCCTTTTATCAGTGATAATAACACGTAAATCGATGAGGAAATCAGTCAGATGATTAGACCGGATATAAAGAAACTACAAAAATGATAGTATAGTTCCATGAAAGAAAAATGAACCCCTCTGTCTTTTTTTGTGGCGAAAACATCTCAAATCCCGTCGCCAGTGTCCAATTCTCCTGTTGGCATGAGTGGACACCTGTTGGCGCCAGTTGACTCTGCATCGTTCCAGTTAGCTGTCCAGAATCATTATGAGCCTGAACGTCTTCATCGTCTCAACTCGCCCTAGCGGTGGGAAAAGGCACACTGCAGTAGTGTGCTTAGCTGGTTAAAACATGTTATCACGCATTCATTTCAAGACGCTTCCAGGTTTTAAAGGCGGCTCTCTGAAGTCATGGCCTTCAAGGGTGCTTGGAAGATGACTAACTGAAACAGGAACTGCTTGTATTCTCCCAATTGTTTCCTTTCTGATGCCTCACAGGTTCCCACCAGTACTGCTTGAAGGGAGAACTGTGACCAGATTAGACAGTAGTATTCAACCAAAAGTTGAGAGTTTTAGTGGCGAGGAACCTTGTTGCTAATTTAGAAAATGTATCTACTGTAAAGGAAAAAATATACACTTACTCACGAGCGTATTAGATACTCTGGGGTTTCACAGAGTGTGATCAGCTTTAAACATATTCAATATAGTACAATGGGGAGTCTGTGCAAACAATATTCAACAGATGTGCAAACCGATCCTATAACTCCAAGGTGACATCAAAATGAATTCCCCCATTATCTTTAAATCTACCGACACACAGCAACAAACGGATGAAACGGATGAAAATACAATGAGAAAACCTGCAGTGCAGCGTGACCGTACGTGTGAAAGCTGCAGACACTTTCCTCTCCTGTAGATGGCACACATCGGCATGTGGACACCTGCAGCTTCTGTTGCCGTTACTTCTATTGTTGGACCAGCTCTCTCCTGGAGCTGTGGCTCTGCAGTCGAAGGAGGTCGTCCGCTCTCAGTTGCTCCACATCAAGGACACATTCCATGCTTTTTGTATGCTTTTAATGTAACAGTCACTTGGTTTGGTTGGTTTCTCTCTCCTCAGCCGGTATTATTCACCCCATGCTGCCTACTGTCAAAGTAAGCTGGCCCAGCTGTTATTCAGCTCCCACCTCCACCAGGAGCTGCAGCGGCGAGGTTTCCCCCTGAGTTCGTGTGCCGTGGACCCCGGCATGGTGGACACCGCTCTGTATCGCCACCTCGGGACGCCGCTGAGCCTGGTGCACAGCGCCGTTGCTCGCCTGCTTTTCAGGGTAAAGCTATTCTGTCATCTCCTTAATTCACACATTCAATTTATATCAGCAGAGCAGCTACGATTTAAATATTAAAAAACGTATGTGTCAGTGCACAAATAAACGGTTTAGTATGAAGATATTTCCAGAGTGCACCGTGTTTATTTATACTAACTAATGACTCACCACTTTCCCTCATAACTCACCGGCACTTTGTCTAACCCGTTATTCTGATTCAATTACTTTTGTCGTTATAACATTTTGTTAAGGACACCAATGCTTTAATCTTTGTCCCTTTAAATCATTGGTCCCTCGAGCTACACTTACTGCTGCTGGTTTCTGTTAGCTGAATGATTAGAAATGTGAGCGAGTTTTCACAAATCCCGTTTGTTGCATTGGGAAAAAAGCCAAATCTGCATCTGAATCTTTCGCGGTACTGAAGCACATTCTGTTTTTTCGCTTCCTTGTGTCCCTCATTAAGATGGCGGGTGCTTGGCGTAGATTAAAAATGGGAAACTAAGAAGCCTCGTAGTCAACCCTCTCCTGGAGAGAATCACAGTCTAAACAGTTTAACTCCGCTGAAGACACTTAACGCACTCCTGTGCAGACGTTTTACAGGATTTTATCTCACTAAATGAAACGCAGCATCCACACAGTCCATCCAAGTGCTGCTAAAAGTCAAGGCACGCTGGTTCCTGTGTGTTGTTACATTTAGACACATTTCTTGCGTGGCTCGAAGCACCGGCTGCAGGCCGCTGTTAATGTCCCTGGGATTTAATGGAAAGAGACGTGCGCTCCTGCGTCTTCAAGGCCCCCAAAAAAAAGGCAATTGTCACAGGCATTTGCCTCCGAGCACAACCCCCGGAGATGGTTCTGCCCCACATACGCAAACACATTAATCACACGAGCCCATGCATGTTATCATTAACACGCACGGACCCGCACAAACACGCAAAGTGTGTATCTCCTGTGTATGACACTTGCTTGTATCTAGAGTCATAACATTTAGGCTCATTCAGTGCCAAAGGCTGGAAGATGGATGGAGAGAGAATAAAAGAGAAAGAGCGGGAGTACCGTGTTAATTCCAAATCACAAAGCAGACAGCAGCAGCGGGTGTGTGTTTGTGTGTTTATATATACATAAATATATATCTATAAATACACCAACTCAGACATAACATAAAGAAACACAAACTCTCAGTTTCCAGTGAGTAAGCGAGGTCATCTCCACTGAGAGCCACGTTAGACCATTTACACAGTTGTTTGACACTTTGACACTTCTTCTATGCGGATGTGTTTTCCAGTTGCTCTGTCGTACGTCTCTTTTCCACTTTGATATTATAGTTACGCAAAAGTTGTACAAATGTCCATGAGAGAGTTTGTCATGTCTGGAAAAGGCTCCTTTCCAGACAAGGCTTTGTTTTTATCAGCAGTGTCCCATTTTTGTATTTGACCTCAGCTGGTCGATGAAGAACTTGATTACGATGAAAAGTTCTTTTAGGGTGAAGTCTGACTGCTACCTTTAAAGCTTGGTAGTCAAAAGCAATCAGACATGATATGATGAACAATGAAATGAGCGGCCTGTCACCATGAAAATTCAAATTCTGTTTTTATTTGCTCATAAAACACCTCATGTGTTAATTCACAGCAACATGAATAACGTCGCTTATGCTGAAAAATTTACCTCCGCAAGCAAAGTCATAATTCAGTTAGACGAGAGTGAAAATGAATGTAATTAATGGAAATTGTGTGCAGTATGACAACGCGCACACACACACACACACACACACACACACACACACTAAGCACGGACGTGTACTGTTGCTGCTTGCAGGATGAAACCTGCTCCTGGTCTCACAGCTCACACTGAGATCATTGTTAAAGTGCACTCACACCAACATTCACACACACACGCACACTTTAGCAGACTCACACACACACACACACACACACACACACACACACACACAGAGGCCAACACACTGAGCCATGTTTTTACTGAGACTAACACACAGTGACACCAACCCCGCTTTGGCATTCACACACAAACACACAGACGTTATTTGTTTTCTGCAGTTGTAACTTGTAGTTGAACTTGTCATCCTGCAGTCACTTCTTTTTATATTAAAATGTATTTATTTATGTCTGTTTACGTGTGTGTGTGTGTGCACCTCTTCCACAGACTCCTGCGGAGGGCGCTTCCACTGTGTTGCTGGCCGCCCTGTCGCCGGCCCTGGAGGGGGAGGGTGGGGGAGGCTACTGGGCCACGGGGCACAGGGAGATGACAACACCACCGACCTTTGACCCCCAGCTGCAGCTAAGCCTGTGGGAAACCAGCGTCCAGTTGCTGGGTCTGCAGTAGCACGGGAGGAAGGGACGACTAAGCGGAGTGAAGCAGATGCAGACCCGTACCGTTCTCCACCGCCGCCCTTTGTCTCTCAAAACGAGGTGTTCGTAGAGGACAATCTGACAATCCACCGCGGGACTGTGATTGCGAATCGGTTATTGGGGGGTTGAAGACCTACAATTGTTCCAGACGAACCGCCAAAGAACGCTTGCTTTAGTTTTATTCGGAGTGAGCAGTAGGACATATACACAATAGGGTTAAATTGGTACATGGCTTTGCTGGCCTTAAGTTAGTAACAGATATCGGCTGTCATCCATCTCTGAAGTTCATTCACTGATCCTAGCTAAGCCGGAATCCTCCCGCCATGTCGTGTTGTAACACCTGTGATGACCCGCTCTGCCTTAATGTCTTCAGTCCGGCTCTCAGCGAAGACGATCCCTTCGGAGGCTTTTCCATCCTCAAAAGTAAACGTCCCAGGCGACATCAAGATGCTTTCTAGGAAAAAAGAACACTTCTGTTTCATTATTTTGGCGCAGTGACTTCAAAATCGCATGGCGGTCAACCACACACACACACACACACACACACACATGTTGATGCACCATGATAATGTCCTGAATTTTCAAATGTGAACCTGCCTTTCTGTGGCAGGGAAACGTGACGTTGTCTGGTTGCTTGGACTTATCGCGATATCTCACTGCTCACTGAACGCCATCCCGTTTGACTGGGAGCACTTTGCCAGGAGCTGTATTATAAGCTATTTTTTTGTTGTTGTTCTCATGCCGATATGATGCACTTTTCTCGCTCGCCCAGCAATCCATCAAAGGACGTTTCATGGGTACTATCGAGGGTGGGGGGGGCATTGACAAAAGGAAGAGATCCCATGTAAAATGCAGGCCTAATTTTGGAATAATTCTCCCTATACACCCAAGAGTGATGACACATTCTGGGGAATTCTCCTGCTGTTGACATTTTATGAAGCCAGTCTGCTCAGAAATGTCGGGGAACCATCCGCCTCTTCTGTCCCCATTTCCCTTTGTGATCTGTGTTAATCGGTTTTACTGTGTGTGTGATACGTGTGTGTGTGTGTGTGTGTGTGTGTGTTTTATGCATGAATTAATTCATGCGCTCTAGACCCGGTTGATATTGAGGGATAGCACAACAATAACGGAACACCGATGGGAGGAAGAGAGGTGAAAAGCACTTTTTTTCCCCTCCAGAATTCTGTGATTGGTTCCTCATCACTGCTGCTGCTGCTTTCTCATTTGGCGCCGCTCCCAGTGCATTGTGGGATTGAGATTTCCCTGTGTCATGAGAAATCAAACTCCATCTGCTGAGCTGACACACACACATACACACACACAGTCCGAAACATTGGAAGCCGTACATCCGGGCACAGGCTTATCTAGACAAGCACACAGCAAACAAACACGTCTGTTACTCGTGCAGGAAAACACGCGTGCACACACACACACACACACACACACCGCGCCATAATGCCATCGCCACTGTGATAAACCATTTTAGCTGTGAAGATGAAAAGTTTTATCTCAAATGAATAAATCCTGCCCCACATGCCATCCCAGTGCTCCGAATGCTGCCACTGAGCATCCAGCGTTTGTTATTATCAGCCGTATGTGAAGCAATAGTACCACCGGGAGCTAATTCAGCACGTCACACAGAGACAGACATCCAGAAGAGGGAAAGAACCCGAGAATGTGAAGGTGAAAAAAGGAAAAAGATTTACACATAATATCAGGAATTCAAATGTCCCTGTCTATATGTATGAAAACGCTTCTTGTATATGTAACATATATTTAATTATGTATATATTCAATCAACCGGCCAATAAAGGCTTCAGTGTAAATTGGGATGTTTAATCCCAGGCAAAAAAACAGTGGACCATGTTAATGGTAAATAAATCCATGTTACTTTCATTTATTTGTAATGCCCTGTGATTAACATGTCCATGCTGCAAACAAGCCCGGCTTCCTCTCGTCGGTGCAGTACATGTTATGGGTTCGGCCTTGAAGGGCTCATTTTGATGAGCTAGAGAGTCTGGATCTTTAGACTAATTCTGCATTCGTGTCCTGCGGGATGGATGTTAGGACGTTTCCACACTTACACTTGAGGAAGCTGTTCTCATCACCTGACATCTCCAGATGGTTGGACTTCTTGTTTCAAATACTCTTTGGTGACTTTTACTCAAATCAACGTTGACATATATACTGTGGTGAATAGATGGAATGGTGGGGAGAATATCTTTACCAGTCCTAATTACTTTTACAGTTTAAACCTCACTTGTGTGAGAGAAGATGATTCCCGTGAGCCAATTAAACAAATTCAATTCAGTTAACTTATTAAGCAGAACAGCACAATCCAGAACTTAAGTGTATTTGAAATATAAGTCCAATCCATGTTTGAAATGTTCATTCTGAAGCTTTTCCCGGTGTACTTAGTATCCGTTCACCTACTCGGCGTAGAAGCAGTGTGAGCTGCTCGGAATAACAAAACAAAAAGCGTTTCTCGCCTCAGTGCTTCCTTGTCCGACCGCGCGGCCTCAATAACAGAATACCAAACGTCCCGACCGGGGCCCGTCCAAACAAATGCGCTCGTCTCCCCTCACAAGTGTGAAAGCACCAGCTCAGTCAGCGGCTCTCTTTTAAAAAGTACAAGCCTGCAGTGTGTGTGTGTTTGTGCGCTACAACCTAAGTCAAAGAGCTACCGGGTTCTTCACAGTCCAGCTGCTACAGCAGCTGTATTAGAACCTGAGGGGGGGGGGACGAGGCCTCGGTGTCCCCTGCTGTGTCAGCGGGCAGAAGAGGGCAGCTCAATGATTACCTTGCTTTATGTTCACCGGGGGCCCCGAGAAGCGCTTGGAGCACAGACCGGCCCACACGGGGAACTTTCAAAAACAGTGTCGTCCGTATGTGAATTAATCGTATCCAAGCGCTGTCGCCACTGCACGGTGGACTGACGGCGCTCTCATAGCCATTCTTCTGTCACAGCTGGACTTACATTTATATTAAATGTTTTGGGTCCCAAATTCTGCTAATTCTAAATGTGTGTATGTACAGGAGAGAGAGATCATGTAGAGATGAACACAGGGGGCAACCAGATGAACCGAGTCTTTACTCTGGTCTCAGTCCGGTCAAGAGCCGACACATGCAGACATTTGTCCATCCGTCACCTTTTATTTACCCCCCCCCCCCCCCCTCATCATGTTCTCCTCCCTAGAACGAGCATGTTCCCCCCCTTAAATACAGTGTAAACATTCCGTCCATCTGGGCCCCTGAGGATTGATGAATCGTGCAATTTTATTTTTTATTTTTGATCATTACTCTGTTGTTGCTGAGATATGCACCGCGTTGCTTTTGTCGTCCCTGAGAAGAAAAGCTCCCTCATATATGTGTGATAACTGTGAATTTTTACATGTAGCCAAGATGCTTGTGGAAACTGTGATTATCGTCTTGTCCTGTGCATTGCTGTACGGTTTTTCTCTCTGTGGAGTGACGGGAGTGGAAGCGAGAGTGAATGTGTGTGTGTGTGTAGATAAGGTCCATGTTTTTGTCAGTGGTTGTGATATTCCAGCAGCAGCCACCACCTTTTCTATTATCCAAAGCCTCTCAATAAACATATCATTGTGCCAGTCTTGCTCCTCGTCCTTAACACTGTGTGTGTCTGTGTGCAGCATGAGACAGCCACCCTGGAGCACAGTCTGAACTTTGGAGATATTCTCAGATCCACCAGTGAAACTCGTGAGGCCACAGTGCTGTTTGCTCCATTTAGTTGAATTATTTTCACACACGTGTGCGGTTGGACTTAATAAGGGGAGAACAAGTGCAGGAAACTTAAACTTGGACCCGGACAAAGTGCAACAAATAGTTAGACCCCTTCCTCCTTTGTGAGTGGAAACAGTTTCTCTGAAGCAGCATTTCATCGTCCCCTGAAAGAAAAGTTCCACCATGGAGACACTTCAGATTGTTGCAGCTGACTGCAAAGCCAGGAGAATCGTAGCAGAAAATCTCTCAATGCGTGTTTGAATGGCAGGTGAGCGTGTTTATGCCAAAACGTTACAATGAATATTGGACACGATGAGAAGAACGAGGTAATGTCTCTCCAGCACACAGCACACAATACAGCGAGCACTTAACTGTCTGTGGTCTGAGCTCACTCAGAGAACAGAGGGAGGGAGAGAAGGTGGGAGAGAAGGTGGGAGAGGGGGAGAACAAGTGATCAGCCTCGCTCACGTCCCGGTAATTGATGCTCATTTACTTGGGACAGACTGGGGTTTTATGACAATGAGCGTAAGCATTATAAACACACTCAGGTCCCCATTCAACCATTAAGTGGCAGTTTTCCCTTCATGAATTCCTCACGGGAGAGTTGATGAAGTCATAGCACGCACACTCATAATCTAGGAAGTGGCTAATAAGCTTTAATTTATCTAATTACTGCCGAACGACTGAGAGGACATTGTTATTTATAGCAATATTCCAGAACTGGTTGTACTCAGATCCTTCATCTTTTGCCAACCTGCAACATAGTCCCAAAAATATCTCCAGCCTGCTTCATTCATCGTATAGTGAAAGTTTCTGTGTATGTTTTGTCACTACGACAGTGGTGAGTGAGGGAGATTGATCACTATACAACAGGCAGTGACAAGATTAAATGAAATGTTGGAGGTGTTGGTGAATTTACTTTTTAGCTATTTTAATGATTTTAAATCTTTAGAAATGTTAATTGTAATTCTTCACAGACGTTGCTTTTCTATGTTACTGAGTTTCCTTAATAAATTACCAAGAAATCAAATCACTTACCCTTAAATTTCAAGCTCAAACATGTTCTTCCGTTTGGCTGATAATAAATGAATTAAACATACTTTAATTTGTTCTTCATCGTCATCTGAGGTCAATCTGCTCAAACAGATGTGGCCAACAGATGTCTAATAGACGCACTAATGTCTTTACTTGGTGACTGGAAAGAAAATCAGAATGACCTTTAGTTTGACCTCCATGTGGCAGGACAGATGGACTAGAAATCATTGAAACTTGAACAAATTCTTTATTACATTTACAATAAATATATATGTCTGGTATCAATAAACAAACCAAACCTTTATTATGGTAAAACAGTGGCGTTCTACTTTACACAGTTAGATGAATAAAATCCAAATGAGGGTCTGTTTTGTGAGAACTTGAGAGGCCTTGTGAGAGAGATCTGTCTGTCCTCAGGTCCACCTATTAACAGTCTTTAAGTGTGAGATGAGGACGGTCATTAATCTTCCAGGCAGCAGTGGCTTATGGGAAAGGCCAGACAGCACAGGGCTAAATGATACATGTTCCTTGTCAAGACCCCTGATGGAGGGATGGATGGGCGAACACACACACACACACCTTACCTGGGTGAAAGTCGGTGCATGTCTGCTCTAATATTACTGCTGACACAGTTATGATGTTCATTCATTTCAGTCATGTTACATCAGGGATTTATGTAAAATACATATATCTTTTCTTAAACCCTGAGACTTTCTTTCTCGTTTGACTGGAGAAATATGTAAAGAAGTAAAATAACAAATGTGTTATTTTAGAGAGACAACTTCAGTCTCCTGCTGTTCGTTGGCCAGACTGAGATTCTCCTCCACGTCCATCAGGCAGCTGTCATCCCACACGTCTGCAGTCTGTGAGCTCCCTGTTTGTCCGTTATGCATCTCTGTTAATGGTTATTCTGGACCAGGTGTGCTCTCTAATTGTTGTGGATGGGTTGATTCGGTTTGGACTCTTATGTGGAACGCGGCAGTCGGAGTGACAGCCGGAGAAATACGGACTCCATACTGACTCCATAGTTGGTCAATCGGAGAGATTAACCAACCATGAAGTCATTTTACAGCTCACCACGTAACTCACGAGGCTCTCAATGCCCTTGTTAATTGCTTTTTTTACTAACAATCATCCTGTGAATAAATGTCTCATGTTATGTCTACTCATCGTAAGCTTAAGTAATATATATATATATGTACATTCACATTCAATTTGGCAGTGTGCAACAACTGCCCCGAGTAGTGAACAAAACTTGGGAACTTCTCAATAGAGAACAGAGCGTTCCTCAAAAAGAATTGAGGAACGCTCAAATTAGAAAATCTGATCATATATATATATGAAATTAGCAGTCATTTCCATCCCTATTTCAGGACTGTAATTACTCATATGTGACATGGCTCCTACTTGTCGGGCTCCTCTCTGTAGTAGTTCATATAAGTGATTCTGTTCTGTGTAGTAATGTGGGATAATTATGTGTTGGCTTCTGAAAAATGTCAAATGTTCATCATAAATCTATATTACCATATTATCGCTGCTCATTCAAAAAAGGTCAAGTAGGATTTTTTACCGCTCTACACAGGGTCAATTCGGCAACGGTGACGTCACACATCAATGGCGTCTCTGCTGTAAAAAAATATATATATATGTTTTATTTTATTTTAAGCAGGAAAAATAGTGTTATTGGCATTCAGCAGCATATAAAGTTGGACCCAAACACATCAGGAGTAAAACGAACGTTTGGCTTTTGCTGCTCGGGAGTCTCCACCTGCTGCTCTGACATCTCCAACGACGCATCGTTCTTTTCCCTCCCAGCCGAAACCGCGCGTTCAACCAGCGAGTCTCTATTGCGCTGGACCGGCATCTCCCCGGTACGCTCCTCTCCCCTCTCCCCTCTCCCCTCTCCCGCCCCCCAAGTGAACGGGATTATATGCCGAAAAAAATAGCATTCAGTGGTTGACGGTGGGGCGGCGGGGAAAGGAGCGTATCCATTCAAAGTCTGCTCAGGAATTCATGAGGGTTGAGACGGTGAGTGGTGGCATATTGTTCGGCTTTGACACACGCAAACACACACACACACACACACACACACACACACACACACACACACACACACACACACACACACACACAGACCTCCATCCACACAAACCCGCACAGAGAGTCTAAAAATGGCCAAAGAAGAGGAGGAAGAAGAGGAGGGGAGGAGATGAAGGCGGGGTAAGTGAGAAGATATGTGGAAACGTATCAGAGGGGGGGGGGGGAGAGGGGAGGTGTTTCTCTCTGGGCTGACGGGGAGGAATAAGAGGCGCAGAGGAAAGAGGGAGTCATGAGGGAGAGAGAAATGAGAAAGGAAAAAACGAGAAAACCAAACAGAAGAATACCAAAAAAAAGAAAAGTGTCTGAGCGCCAAATAAGAAAATATATGAAAAGCTGGAGCAACAGAAAATAAGCTGTCATTTTCTAAGTGAGAAATATGTATTTGTAGGACAGCAACAATGAACCAATAACTCGGATAATTCATTTAAGCTAGAGTAAAAAAGAGAACATCCATTCGTCATGTTATGTTATTCCCATTGCAAGTGCACGCACACACACACACACACACACACACACACACACACACACACACACACACACACACACACGCACACACACACGCACGCACGCACACACAGCCCGTCTGAAAAGAGGAAAGCACAACAATCTCCAGGGCTTCACTCCACCCACTCATCTGCCGAGAAGGTTGAGAGAAGAAGAGAGAAAGAGGAGGCATGAAGAGGTGGGAGTGCACGGAGCCATTAAAACAGATAAAAAGCTATAAAAAAAGAAGGGGAAATTTGGGGGGAGAAACGGCGGGCCCGATCGAGAAAGGAACAAAGTGGAGACGAAGGAAGGCAAAGCGGAGGCGGGAGGATGACACAGCGGAGTGAAAAGCAAGAGGAGTGAATGTTTGCGTCACATCTGCAGTGGAGGAGAACCGGCTGACAGTCATCACACGCCCGCTGAATGACAATCTCCTCTCCATTGTGAGCGGGCCCGGCTCAGCACACCTGCATTTCCTTTGCTTTTCTGGAGAGAAAAAAACACCAACAAAAAAAAAAACACTTTGCCCCCTTTTCGACTTATACGGAACGTCCTTGACATTGGTGATGCGCAGGTTGAGTTCACACCTGGCGATCCGTCTCAGCCGAGAGACAACGTGAGCTCCTGCAGCTCGTGCGGCGAGCGCGTCATCACGGTCAATAAACCATTAGGGTGGAATCAATGCATTAAATACAGTCACAACACGCCCAGTTCCCAGTAATCCGCAGCCACGCGGCGCTGGAGCCACAAGAAAGAATCTGTGTCATTTTGACAACTATGAGACTGAGTTGGTTTCTTTTAAGGCTCAAAAAGCTTTTGGGGTGTTTTAGAGCATCGGCATTCTATACGTAATCTTAATGAGACAAGTGTTGTCAAAGCAAAATCTTGGAGAAATACGCGTACGAATTAAACCAACCGTCTGCTTGTGCCATTTCTAGTGTTTTCAGTCATATTAAAATCCAGATGTGAATCACAACTCTTTAGTTTCTGATAGCAATAAAACAAATAACGGTCCCACTCCTGCACAAAGGTAGTGGTCGAGCACCTGAAGCTGCTTTGTAATTTAAAAAAAAAGTCAAAACTAGTCTTTCAGCACTTTAGTAATTAATAACTATATTTAAACAAAAATAGTCTTAAATAGTTCTGACACCACCAGACCCCTGAACTGTTACGGGATTGTTATTGTGCGCGTGAATAGAAGGGACAGTTTCAGGTGCCTTATGTACCCAAAGTCACATTATTAGGAAGCTC